CATCCACGATCAACATCCAGCAATGTAAAGAAGTCCCAGGACTGCGCCATCAAAGCTGAACGTAAGGATTTTGTCAAGCCAAGTGTTTGCGAATTTTTCAACACTGAGAACAGGGAAATCCCCGGCCTGTGATGACATAAGACCGGTTGTCCCACGCAACTGCTCGGAAGCTCCGAGCATGCCGATACGCAACCCGTCCACGCACTTTCTGGAATTAAGTCAACTCCCGAAAGAGTGGAAATGCACCATCCTTTACCATTCTTCAAGGGAGGAGACTGAAAAAACTGGCGTAACCACAGCCCAATGGCACTAATCCCCATACTTTTCAAAGTACTGGGAAGCCTAGTTGCATTTGTTGTTTGGGCCTACCTGAACAGAAACAACAACTTCCATCCCACCCAGCATGGTTTTGGAACCGAACGGTCATATGCCACAAAACGCAATACAGTATGCTGCGGAACAAACTTCCCGCTCCTATACGAGCATGCCGTTCGCACGGCCAGTTTCAACGACTACTTAGTAAATTCCTCCTATCTAACGAATCTCATCAATTCGTTGACGGCCAAACCACAAACGGTAATGCCATGCACTAAGGTACTACTGGTACCTAGACTCAAGGCAGACTAACAGCAATGACATAAGTATACAGTGCTGAGAACTAAACGCAATAGTTAAAATCTAATTTCTTTGAAAAAAATGACCAAGAGTGAACAGGAGGCGGAGTGCGACACGATATGCTACAGTGAACTCATTAGATACTCAAATGTAACCTACTTTTCTTCACAACCTAACCGATCTCACGACTTAACACCTATTTCCTAAAAATCGCCCCTTAAAGTGATCTCTCTACTCCGAAAAGATAAAAGAACTGTCTGTCGGTGCATTTTCATAGCATGCAACTCTTTATTATTTGCCCTTTGTCATCAGTACTTACATCTAAGTACTCCGCACCAACATAGTTTCGGTAGACCCGATATGGTAATACTCAACAGGCAACACCATGATCATCCCCCTCATGACCAGATAAAGGGTGGTGGTCCGAAGAACAAAAACAACTACGAATTTCACCTAAATGTTTATAACTTCATCATACGCTTGTACATAGGTATATAACAAGTTAATACCTGGTCAAATATCCTCTAATCTTTCTATTTCGTAGTGATATCTTCAGCTTCAGAATGACTTTCATTACTGTCGTGCGCACCTTCATCTTCTTCCACCTAAGCTTACCTCTAAACAGTTGGTTCTGGACACTTCCTCAAGTAAGTTTAACAGTCAGTACAAACTCACCCAGATGTATCATGGTCGATCTACTCCTGCATATTTTTGTGCTCCTGTTACAAATTTCGCCTGCTGCTCGCTTTTGTTATTCACTTTTCAGATTTACTTAACCAGTCCTGCATTCAAATGGAATCCTACAAATCGCATTCGTCAGTGGGAAATATTGCCATCAAAACCTGATGACGAACGCACACACCCCAAGGTCATGACCGTGATGCGGCCTCACCTTCGAGAATATTGGATGATTCAAACGATGACCGGATAATCTTCAAATTCGAACTGAGCCTGCTTCAACACACCTCCTATATGCCATAAATCACAGCATCTAATGTATAGCATAACATTGTACATAATAGTCATCTCTCATTACCAAAGTGATCAGACATGTAAAATGGTTTGTATTCATGCAACCTTTATTGTATGAAATATATTATTATTATTATTGAAATTGGTGACCACTTGGGACGACAAGACTACTAGATGGGACGACAGACAACCGGTTCAATGCATGAACAGAAGTTTCTCGAGAAGCAATCCTTGGGCCACCCCTGTTTTTCCTATTCATAAATGACTTCCCCATCAAAATCTCCTCATCTATTCTCTTATTCGTAAACTGCATCCAAATATGGAGGACGATAGATGACGAAGAGGATCCTAAGATATTCCAAAACGACCTGTTGCGGCTGGAGTCCTGGTCAGCCGCAAGCGGTTTAAGCTTTAACCTGTAGAGGTGCAACTTGATGTGTCTTCACAAACCAGAGGGGAGGAAAACCAGGTACACTCCAAACAGGCGTGCAGTCACAAAAGTACCCACAGAGAAGGACCTAGGACTAAACTTCTCTGATACACTGGATACTGCCCCTAATTATAAGGGAATGGCAGCAAAGGCGAACGTCATTATGCACTTTCTAGGAAGGCAGCTTGGATTGCTGACCCCAGAATAATTGCTCATGGTATTCAAAACCTATGTTAGACCACACCTAAGGGTGTTCAACGCGACAACCCTCTCGTTACTAAAAAGCGACCCGAATATTCTCGAGAAGGCGAGAAGGAGAGTCGAACTAACAGGCAAAACGTATGCGCAACGCCTCAGACAACTCAACTTGTTCACACTAAGTTATCAAAGGAAACGAGATGGTCTGATAACAGCTTACAAGATCATTCACCAGATGGACCACCGAAGTGGGATGGCGTTGTCGGTCCAAAACCAACAGTCCCGTGGGAACCTCACTCGCGCACCCCTCCACAGGGCAAAGACTGGAATAAGGTCTAACTTCTCCCACGCAGTATGCGCCTTACGAAACGCTCTGCCGAAGGAAGTGGCGGCAGCTACGTCACCCAACTACTTCAAACGATTAAGGGACGAATATGTGAGCGCAGACGGTTCACCACGAACTAATGACACGCCCTTCCATCCTCGTATTCCCCAACCCTAGTATCTGCAGTAAGCCGCGCCTATCCTCCATATTATTACCAGTCACACCTATCTTTTCATAATTACTTTTCACTCCTCTTTTTGTCATTCCCCACTCACCCTGTTTCTATTACTCTTTAATTAACGCCTAGCACTTGCTTGCAGGTGCCTACAAGAACAGGAATCGCAAACGGTTGGCTGACCTTATCAGCAGCTCTGTTGCCCCCCAAATGGACAGACACTACCTCCAAAACTGTAAGCAGGAAGACGCAAAGGTTCCTGCTACCATCGAAGGAGTACAATCAAACAAAAAGAACCGAGCCTTAAGACCTAGAAGTGAGAGTTTGCAAACTATGAGTTTCCTCTACTCTCGCCACATTTGACACACAGCTCAATATTCCATCAAGAAAGTGCGCACATCAAATGCACGAACAGCCCTCAACGTTACTCGATGCTGCGGTGTTGCACGAAATACAGATAACGGGCACTCTTACGCTCAACATGGCTTCCGGAGGGGGATGTCCCGTGCCCCCAACCTCCTGACGGCCCATGATCACTGGACGGCGTGCTGGGATCTCAAGGTCGCGGTCCAAGCAATTTTTCTGGACCTCGCCAAAGCCTTTGACACCGTCTCACACATGATCCTAATACCTAAGATATCTCGGTTAGGTACATGCAGCCAGGTGCTAACGTGGCTGCAGAGCTACTTAGCCAGCAGGGAGTTCTGCACGAAAAGTCAACGGGGTCTACTCAGCCTGAAGAACACCCTCATCTGGTGTCTCATAAGGAGTGATCCTAGGTACACTGTTGGTTCTATTGTTCGTAAATGACCTGCCGCAACATATCAGCGCCCCGATTCTCCTATACACTGATGATGTCAAGCTGTGGAGGGCAATAACTTGCGAAGCGGAATCTATGGCATTACAGAATGACCTCAAAACACTAGAGGAACGGGGAACTAATAACGAACTGGCATTTAACCTGGATAAGTGCCTATCCATGTTTTTCCGCACTCCTGATTCCCAGAAGGTATCTTAATATCTATGTGCTTCACGTCTATCCCATACCACAGTAGAAAAAGACCTGGGTTTAACGGTGACGGCGAAACTGAAGGCCGGTTCCAATTACCCAGGTGATACTCCAAAAAGCATATGGGGTACTACACTTTGTGCGTAGACAACTGGGTGCCCTCAGCGCAGAACTATTTCTGAAGCCCTACAAGACTTACGTACGGCCCCACTTAGAAGTCCCTAACGTATTCGCTTCCCCACAGCTGAAAGAGGCACGGACTTACCGGAGAAAGTTCAGAGGCGAGACACAAAAGAGGTTGTTGAGTTGTAACGAAAACCATACAGGGATAGACTGAAAGACGTAGGTCTGTGCCCTCTAAGCTACCGAAGGTTACGGGGCGACTTAATAGTAGCTTACAAGACACTGAGTAACCCAAGTCACAAGAACGGAGGAATTCTACCAAGTGGCCACTACGGAGATCCTCGAGGAAACCTCAAGAGGATAGCCCACCAAAGGTCAAAAACTCATGTGCCTTCACAGTTCCTCTTCCTTCGAGTCTGTGGGTACTGGAACGTACTACCAGCAGAGGTGGTCTCCGCCCCAACTGCTGAAACTTTAAGAAGAGGCTAGACAGTCATGCAGAGACTCATGGTCTACCCATATATAGCTTGGAACACGAAGTGATATCAAGCCGCTCAACCAGTTTTCTTACTATTGTAACCATTTAGGCCCTTTTCACCCCTTCCGCCTGCCATAAGTTAGCCTCACCAAAGCTCTTCATACCTTTGTACCCCCACTCACCTTACTTGGGTGTCAGAGGATTACTCCATTAGTTCACTTTTCTTCTCCTCCTTTACTCACACAAATACTTTCTAGGTTTTCTCTTCACCATCCCAAACCCTCTCTAGCCACCAGTCCGAGCAACTGTCTAGCAACTCGATATCTGAAGGAGCCAACTGCACCACAGTCCATGGCAAATGAACCAACGCCCAACTTCCTGTTCTGTAAACCAGAGCTATAGCAGACGAGTTGCTGGATCCGCTGCATTGGAATCCATCAAAGATCTGGAACCATTCCGCAAGACCGGGAAGCGTGCAAGAAGAAATCAACTGGTTTACAGGCTCGTTAAAAGATATTGGATGTTGGACAGTCACTACCTCCTAAGCTATAAGCACGAGAACCCTAAAGACTTCTGCGACCGTCAAAGGACTACAAAAGAAAAAAATAACTGAGCCTGGAAACCTGGAAGTGAGAGCTCATACTATTGAGGTTTGAAGGTCACAGGACATTGGATATTGCTTGTTGCAGTTTATGAATGTATACGGTACGAAACAAATGATTTCCGTTTAACTTGATAGCCAGTCAAATGTTTCGTAGAATAATTAATGCAGCTATGCATTTTATTATTGACACTCACTCAAAATTCCTCATAACTCCAGATGACTTCAAAGGTTCATATACAAAGGAAGTGATGGATATGGGGTCAAATTAATGTGTAATGTTAATATGTTGGGTATAAATTTCCTTATTTTGGAGAGTAAAAAGTAAATAACTTCTCAGAATCCTTATGGAAATGCCGTATGCAATAAATAGCGACTTCAATCTCGGCACCATCAAGCACAGTTCCGTTTCATGTTTGGTCAAACACGATAAAACATACATATGTGTTTGTTGTACATTTTCTGTCACGTGTTGTTTTACCCTTGTTACAGTATTTCTCGGGATATTTATGGTATGGATGGTGATTTTTGGAACTTTTTGAAGTCATAAAATTTACAGGCTGATTTTATAGAAGTACGCAGATAGACAAAAACAACGTAGAACCTCACATAAAATATCATCGGTCCAAGTTTTTACGCTTCACTACAGCCTAAAAAGGATACCTGGTCGAAGGAAGTGTGACATCATGATAGTCAAAAGTGTACGAAAGGAAAGAGAATAAGTTGATAATGGGAATTAGAAATGTCGAAACTTCTGATATCAGAGTTGTTACGTCTATGGTGACGTGACCAATTTTTATCTGTGTTATCAAGGGTAACCAACCACTGGTTTCTACTATTTTAAGGACCCTGATCGGGCAGTCTACACCTTGCACGGCTATCACAAACAGTCAAAGCTTTCGTGCAGTGATACCACGACCTGGTCTGGCCACGCTTTACCATCTGCTAATTCAGTCCTGCTTCAGCTAATATTGCATGTGAAGGTAGCCAGTAGCTAGGCATGTGCAACTCATATCCAAGCCACCTTAGTTAGTAAATGTTCGCAACCCCATCAACTAACTTGCCTTCTTTACTTAGTGCTCTCTGTTGACATGGCTGATTTGCTCCATTATACTTAATTAATGGTGTGAAGACAAATGTGGTAAAAAGTCTATATCCTCTGCATATCTTGTGTAAAACAATCGTGTCTCATCTGTATTCTAGGAACGAGCGGAGTATAGTGTAATATATCCCTCCTTTAATGGTTATTTAGATATCTTGCTAGTCGCAAAGATAGCGCAAGTTGGCAAATGATAAGTAAGCCGTTTGTATCTGAGCTGAGACTTCGTCAGCAAGCAACATGTTTGGGTTGGTTCATCCTGTCAACCAAGTGAAGTGATCGACGTATTCCACCATTGGCTTCGCTATACTTGCGCCGAACGTAGCTACAAACCTGTTGTGAAGCATCGTCATACTTTCGACAGCTGCGAAACGCATGCTAAACGACACCTACATCCCACTAAGGTTCGGGCTAAATGTTCAGGAATCGAAGCGTTACTGTAGGTCAGCTAAACTCTTCCTCAAAATTCTCTGCATAACTTTCTGGCCATCTCTGCTGATGAATTTCCAGGGTCCCATCCTTTTCGGTTGTGATCACATCAACAATTGTTGTTGTCGTGCCAGTTTCTGTGATACTCTTGAATAACTGTCGAGTAATACCTAGTGGTGATACCTTCTCTTTCTCTCGTTTTCACCACTCACCACTGCTTCGGTTCATTGTCAAAGCTGTTGGTTATTCACGTGTGAGTTGCTGTTGCTGCTCATTTTTGTCAGAGCCAGTTAGAATAAGTCTTCAAACACCAATCAGTTCGGATGACTTAGGGGAAATCCATTGGTGTTTCCTAACCTTACGGTGTACATTACCAACTATCTTTACCGTTGTTTCTACAGCAAACTGAATATCACACCCGATTTCATCAAGATGAGAATGGGCGTCACTTTAAGATAAATGCTTCTCTGTCTCTTGAAATGTGCACTTGAAATACTCATCTTTCAGTCATGCACACAGGGGTTTCGCTACCACTTTTTCTTTGTGACCACTAAGGTGCAAATACACGCCCGTAATAACTCTTAGTCGAAGCTCAAATTGTTACTTCGGAAAGAGCAGCAATCCTCCAGTGACCCTCTGCAATGATGGCCTACAGCAAAATGGTATATTTTTGTCCATCGTTGATTTGATGTCGGTGGACACCACATAAAACTGTCTTTATGCCTGAAGCCAATGGTAACCAGAAACAAGGGATTGCTGGAAAATTGCAGGACGTGATCATCGTCGTCGGTTCTTTGCTATGGGGTTCCGTAGATACCCTTTCAAATTGGTTCAGTTTCTCTGTTTGGGCGTGCTACTATGAATACATCCGAAAGTTTTGCCTTATGTGATAAAAGTGACGTTTTTTGTCGAATCCATCTATCCTATTGTGCGAACTGCAATCGGTGGGTGCTTAGTCAGGGATTGCGAATAGACATTGATGAGTGTAACTGTCCTCAGTTCTTACAGATGCACTCAAGATGGCACACAACTAACTGGTATCCAGCTGAGAAGTACGCTTTCTGCTCTGGAACCCAATGCTTTACCTACTCCTAGTCCACGAGAGCTAACTACTTAATCTCTGGACACTTGTTAGGTGAATTTTGGAGATTTGCTGCACTGACCGGGTGAGGTCTAGTCAAGTACCGCACACGGTTCCTGTTTACGTGTCTCGGAAACGCAGCATACATCCATGAATCGAAGTTCTAAAGTTATGGCAACAAATGCCCGTTTTCTGATGTGGGATAGAGTTCGGACGTTGGAGGCTTTAGTGTGGAACGGACAGCGGAGTCTTAAAAGACTGGAAATGGTGTTTACTTGCTTGGAGCTTTGGCAATAAATGCATAGTGAGATGCTAAGCGGTTGTAAAAGGCTTAATATTGGCAGCAGGAGGTAAGGTCAAGGGAGGAAACAAAGCTAAAAAGGGTGGGCTATAATTGTTCGTCTTTGGTTTATTACTGGAAGTGTCCAAGAAGCGGGTACTTCTTGGCTTCCCACAGCATGGTAGTTGATTGTGCAGGGTACCTGAGAGAGAAAAAGAGAAAGGTTTGTGTGACTATTTAGCCAATAAGACATACTCTGAAGGCTGATCACATGTGATCTTAAAGCTTTGTTGGGTTGAGATTCCATTGTGCTGACTTTGGACAAGAATAAACCACACTAACAACATAATAATGCTGAACATGTAGGGTTGTGCTGTTCTGGGAGCTGATGTTTTTCACCCCGGGTTTCACATAAAGAAAGCAGCACCAGCATGGCACAGCTGGTCATCCACGAGAAACACCTTACTGTTGTCACATACTATCCAACCAGCATTACGACTTTTCCCTCGGACCCACATAATAACGTAGCTATTTACATTGTGGTGGAAGCTGTTTTTAATCCCACAACTATCCAACTACCCTTTTGATGTAGTTGAAACTCAAAGAACAAATGTTCCCGCCAACACAACTCGTTGTTTCATTGTGATACACAAGCTTGACCATCATTTCAAGGTAGCGTCTGTCATTCAGGCTGGATATACAAACTGGTCTTAGGTAGTTGCACGCATCCTCCTCGCCAACCTCAAATGTATACTATAGTACTAGGCAAGGGGTAGGTAAACGACAAGTGTGGCAATGAAGTGTCAAATACAGCACATACTGCCTTAGGTATAAACCGCTTAAAAGTCCAAATAGGAAACAGTGCATTTAATTCAAAAGGATAAAAAGGAACATACTAGCAAACTAATGGAAAATTTTTATGTGTATTCAAGGAAAACATGGCCATTTTATTTGCAAAAGTTATAAAAAGTGTATGCAGTCGTAAATAAAAAGTAACCAGTTCCTTATCTACGGTAAAATAGTCTGTTTACAAAATAAGTAAAAGAATTCATCTTGAAGTAGTAGTAGTAGTCGGTATTTCATATCAACGTCTTCCTTCAAGTATAAGTGTACGTCTTCTTTGCTCAGTTCCATTCTCATCCGTGTTTCTGAGCTGCGGTGAGCTACTTAATTTATTACCGAATGCGTAATCATCTTCAATAACTTACTCATTCCCCACTGAAATAACTGACAAACTATGTTCTGAAAAAAGTTCCTAATTCGCCCTTCAAATTTTCCCTAATGTTGTGGGGGCCATTGCTGTACTTCAGTGATGATTTGTCAGCAGTCTGAACAAATATTATGGAGGATCGGAGGACAGAGGCATCAATCACAGTCTTTTAAAAATTGAGTTAAAATCCACCATGTTTTCATTGAGTAAAATGAATGCTGCGATAGACAACTGAAGTCTAATTTAACTTTCAAAACGGTCGCACATTTTTAAACAATGCATATTTGTAATTAATTCCACTTTATTTGTCTTCAGTGTAAAACATAAGCATCATAACTACCAAGTGCAACATTGAAAAGCAAGTGTTAATGAAATCAATTCCTTTCCGTGTTGAAACAGATATTGAGGTCATCTGAATAAAGTTCGTGGATAAAAACAACTGGTGTATCATAAGACTGATAAGGGCATTTTCTGTAACTGCACAAATATCCATATTAAAGAATTTGAACACTATATCATGTTGCATATTCCAACAGAAGCTCGGATTTTTCTACTGCTGACCTTCTATGAAGTAATTATTATCCTTCCTGGAATAGTAGTCGGGAAGTGAGTTCCATCTCACAGTCAAAATGCACGTTACATGAATCCTCAGTTTCCCGGCGATTCGCTTTTACTTAATAATTCCACTCCTCATGGGCCGCACTGTCAACGATTCTGTGGGACTAGGTTATATAGAAAATCTGTGACAATATAAGACGTTTCTCGTCATTTGATGTGACTTTCTCAGCATATATTTCTCTGACCACTTGCAATTTTTGGGTGGTATGAAAAGTCCAAAGCTGTTTGTTAGCCATTGAGTAAAATGTTGGCTTAACTTCCTGATTACTTGTGACCCAGCTTGTTCTTTCAAAAATGTGATTATTTCATCTGTTGGTTAACCAAAAGTAGTATTATACCGTAAGACGAATAGGCTTAAGCGGAGAAATAATAGTGAGTAAAGGCGAAATGAGACTTAACATTAACTTTTTAAACCTTGTTTCTAGCATCCCCTTCTGTGTTTCTTATTCCCCTTCTACCTGGATTGTAGCTGATTGGTCTACGCACTTAAATTCCAACTAGAGATAGGTTCGAATCCAGTTCCACCTACTGAAGCTTGGGAAGCCAGATAGTATCATTAGCTATTGCACAATGGATGTGAGAGGTAGAATCGGCCCTAGTACACCAGTGACTATCCAGCCGATACCAAAGATTCGATTGACCATTACCAATTTAATCCATTTGTGGCACCACCATGATATCCAATTGCTTATTAAAAGTCCAGTGTATTGCACCTCAGTTTGCTTTGTTATATCCTATGTGGCTGTGAGACGTAGAAATTAAAGGTAGAGGATATGAGAAGGCTTCTGGTGTTCCATCCCCGTTGCATTTACAGCACAGACTGTGTCATATTGTCAACACATCAGTAATGCAGAACTCAGGTGTAGAGTTTTAGGACGAAGTAACAAGTCGGTTTATTAGGTTGTTGCTACGTATGCTTAGTCACCGTTTGTCTCGGCGCATAGGGTTAGCTGAAGTAGGTTTAAGCAGACTAAAACACATCACCAGTTCATGGAATCTTTAACCGATGGTCTGAGACGTGTAAGGAAATGTAGACTTCCAGGTTGGCTCGCGTGAGACATCTCAAACACTCTAGGTGATGTAACTCAGGATTGGTCGCGGTGACTAAGATTCATCTACACCCTACCTTTGTCTTAACTGTTACATCTTATTTTGTTTTTATTTCTTTCAGAATATTAAAAATTCCCACTATGAAAATTAAAGCAAGACATGTAAGTGTACAATATTGTTTTCAACTAGATCTCAGGCTTCAATCTGATAGACATAGCTCTCAACACATATTAAACATGAACCAGTCAAGGGATTTGAGTCTACGATAAGATGGGTGCAAATTGTATACTTAAGAATAATAAAACTAAATTAGTGATAGTAGAAGGGATAGTACTAGTGTTAAGAGTGGCATGACAACATAAACTGGTGTTCATACATACAAACAAAGTAGGTCAAAGCTTAGAAAAAGAAAAGAACAATAAATTTGTGTGATACTGGGACATGAAGGGAGTGAATAAATAAGGTTTCAGTGTGAATGTCGTAGTGGTGTGAAAGGGGTAGCAAAAATTATATAAAAAGGGGAAAAAGGGCATTTTAAAACTCTATGGCTAAGGTCATTCATTAAGTCTTCCCTGGCCAAGACGTGGATAAAGGGTGTACAAATTGCTTTTGGATGCACAGCTTTGGATTGTTCATTTGAATTCATATAGTCTTAGATATACTTAAGGAGTGAGTTTGAACTACATCGGAAAGGTTCGATGGGATGGGGTAAGTCACTTTGAACGCTTTTGTTTTATCCACCTAGTGACCGCTGTCATTTAGATGCGACAAAATAGAGTTTCTAATAGATTTAACCTGTCGCTTTCCTGACCGCGAAGCGTTTGGCAATATATTAGTTAAGTTGCCTAGTCCGGCGTACTTGTCTCCACAGGAACAACTAAATTCATGAATACGCATGGGAGTGGCTAAACTCGGTAACGTCTTTCGTTTGACACAGTACACTTCGCCAACTAGGAAACAATAAACAGTGATTAGCTACACAAAAGGTTCAATTAATGGTCTTCGGTAGTCTGTGAAATAAGATCTCACTAAGTGTATCTTCATCACGTAGCTTTATGAATAGGGGTTTCTTCGAAAAGTTATTACCTCAAGTCCTCTACCGACCGTGTTCATATGCCTTTTTATAAAATTGCGAGGATAACCTTAAGTTTAATGAGTTTTAAATGTACTTTAACTCACTCTGTAGAGTGTCGTCTGAGCAGATTTTCGTTGTTCTGGCTGCGAACATTTGGCTTAATTTCTTTTTTGCCTCATAGGTATGGAACTAAGGTGTGTATCGACATGCAGGTTTGCTTCCTCTGTAGAGGCTTCTGCAAAGTGAGCTATCTCGTCTTTTTGATAAAACATCAAGGAACTTTAGCTTGCCATGTTCGTCATAGCTGAAGGCAAGTGAAAAGTATATGCTGTTAAGATTGTTCAAAGGTTCTTTTTATCTATATTCTGACTAGTGATAATAAATATTTCATTCACATATGTTATAAATATCCAGCTTGTTGATGAAATCCTTCAGTGGTGAATTCTCTAGTTTGCCTAGGAAGAATTCTTCAAGAACTGGGCCTGTTGCGATTCCATCCACTTGCCTGCAATATGCATTATCGAAAACAAAGTGTATATTCATTGTACACCGACGAAGTAATTCCTTTAGGCTGAACTGAGGAATTCCAATGTTGATTTGCTGCTCCACCGCTTGTTGACGTATGAAATCAACTGTCTCAGTGAGAGGTGCATTGGTGAATAGTGATGATAAATCTAGCGATATAGTGTTTTTTTCACTCACATTCACCTGTCACCTTCAAAATAGAATCGAAGAAATCCTTCACTATATTTTAAAACTAGTTTGTGGATTTTAGACAGACCATAAAGCTGCGGTATACTACAGCTTGTAGGCTTCATTCAATCGTTCAACGTTGCTGAGATTATGCATGTTTGTTTCCATTCTTTAAGACAGTCGGCTAATTTTCCGCTCTCGCATTCAAATCCCTAGAATCGCTTAGCTTCTGAAACTTTGTTTGATCGGTCAGAAGACAATTCGTTTTATTTATATAATCTCTTTGGTCCGACAACAGAAAACTTCCTCCCTTGTCCAGCCTAATCATAACTAGCTTTTCATTCCTCCTTATCTTTTGAAAATCTTGATGTTGTTTCGTCAACAAAGTGTTTGTAGAACTAGTACCATTTTTATTTTATTGGCAGCTGTCAACTAACGTAGTTTTAAACTTGGTTTGTTCATTATCTGATGGTGCAACCAAGTGAGATACTTGAGAAAATAAGTTTTCGACTTGTATACTGGTGTCAAGTTCACTACTTTTCTGTACATGATCGCTAGATTTGGGATCCAGAGATAGAAACTCTAATCGAAGCTTATCTAGTGCAACACTAGAAAAGTTGTGAACATACCAATTTTAGTCAGAAGGAAGTTTTCTGTCTGGTCTTCGAATTTTCTATAGATTTGACTAGGTTTATTTTCTTCTTCTCTGTCCTGTTTTGTGTAAGTTGATTTACATGATCGTAAAACACTAATTTTAACTCCTGGGGAAGTTCATCAACTGAAAACCTTTGTGATAAATTTGTTTCCGGTGTCGATATTCACATTTCTAAAGAGTCCAATTGACTAAGTGCGTATCTTTCAAGTGTATCAGAATTGGAATAAACCTAGTTACTTCGTAAAACTTCCAGTATGATTTGGGATATCGTTCCTTTTGTATACATTCGTCAGCAAATTTCACCGACATTTTCAACTCAGGAACTCGTTGAGTGCCTTAAATGCAATAGGTTTTCCTTCAACTTCAAAATATTAAAATTCCTATCATAAAAATCATTTATTTCCCCCTTTTATTTTCGTGTTACGGATTTTGATTGTAGTATTTTCACTCTTTGTCCTTTCTTTTTTTTTACTTTGTTTCTTGTTTCAGTAATTTGGACCGTTACACAATGATGCCAGATGGTTCCATGTTAATACTGACTAGCTGACCGTTTGTTAGCAGACATTCTATAACACAACGAAATTCAGTTACCTGAACGCTGCCAGTGAGAAACCAACGGTACTTTTAGAAGTTACCGAATTCAGATTGATACGTCAATGTTTATCTGCACCCACGTTTAATTTGACTACATACGGATTGAAAAGACTTTTGGTTTGGACCAATTTGCCAGTTTAAGCGATCAAAGTAGTTAGAAAAGACTGTCAGTGTTGTTATTTTCACCACCATGCTTTTCACTTGATTGATTCCCTATTTGTTATTCCTTAGACCAACAAAAGATTGTACTAGGTTTTATATTGTTTCTATTCATCTGCCCTTATTGTCAGCGGGCATAGATAGTACCCGTAACAGGTGAACTTAGCTGATTACTGTATTTCCCCAGTCCCACTATGAGAGTTGTTTGTGCTAATAATCTCAAGAATTACGCTCAATCATTTTCGAGAACACTGTCGTACATAAGACAACTACTTGTATCCAAAACATGCCACTGTGAATTTTACCACACTTATGGAGCTGGAACTGACTGGTCTAGGCGTTTAACTTTCAACCAATAAACCGCCGGTTCAAACCCTCTCCCGAGGTATGGACAATCATTTAGTATCGCTAGTCCCCACTGTAAGTGTAGCTCATTGCTTACTGCATGAACATGCACGTGGTTGCTTAGCGTATTTCTGTTTAAAAATCTTGATCTTAGTATTGACAACTTGTGTATAACTGTACTCTACACGGCCATTGGGAAGGTGACTTACCATTGTCTGGGTTAGACGGTTAACTAATGTGTGGCTCTGAATCCGAATGGTCAGTTACTATCTCTCACTTTAATATCATTATGCTAATATCAACTTTACGTGATATTACTGTGACTTTCTTTTTTGTTCGTAAGTTGGTTATATGCCTTTACGTCTGTTGACTTCTAATTGTTCTGAATGCTAAGCCTTCTGAATACTTCCAACACTGTGTTTCACATTTCTTGATTCGAATTCAAGCCTATTGCTGTGATAAAAAGTAGTCTTTTGTAAAATGCAACCACTAATCTGCTTGCAAATGCAACTTAAAAAGCGTTTTTTTAGTTATATTCGCTTCCGGATGCAGTTAATGGAAATTATTATTGAATTATAATACTTGTTTACTTCTGTTTCATGTTTCACTGCTCAAAATCTGATATAAATTGACCATGTTAATTAGCTGGAGGCAATTCAAAGGAAGCCATGTGTTAATTTGTGTTTGAAAACAAATTACCAGAGGTCTCGAAAACCCAATTTCGGTTTTCATTACTTGTTTTCATTAGGTTACTGAAGTTGATGTGACGTCCAAGAGTGAACTACACAAATGTCTTCTTCTAAACCTATGTTGGTGGTCATTTTTGCGGGATATAATCATATGATTTTCTTCAGCTTAATGTAAGATAAAAATGCTGCACTATGCATGAGCCATCAATTTTCTGATGTGACTGAATGTTTGCCCACTTTTCATGATATCGATAATTCTTTTGTTATCAAAAATAACGTCTTGTTGCTGTCCTTATTGTTTTCTGTACGTAAATAAAGTGGAATTCTTTTATCTTATTCTTATGCCATACTTTCGCTAACAGCTTACATTCTTCAATTGAACATGAGTGATTATGTGGTCAATGTCGAACCAGAGAACACAAAATACTCATTATTCCAATCGCATGCAAGTTCATCTATTGGTCTTGAAACTGGAGCTGAGGTATCTTGTGACCAATAATATTTCATGGTATAATTTTATTCTATCATAGGTGACAGCACTGTGTTCATTTTCAGACTTACTGTATGTAGGAACGAGCAAAGGGTACGTTATAATATTTATGTTGTGCGAAAATTCTCTGCTGTTTAAAGTGTAGTATTGCAGTTAATTTTACAGGAGTTATACAGCGATGAAACGTACTTTTGTTTCCACGATGCTTTATCCAAGAGAATATGTGTAAGTTCTTAACCTATCTATTTATGGGTATGTTTTATATCTTGTTGATCAGTCCAAACCGATTTCAAGACTTCAAGCATCTCCCAAAAGAAGTACACTTGTTATCTTTAGTGATGAAAGCCTTATACTATGTGATGCTGAGAAACTAGAGGTAGGCTTAAAGTGTACAACTGTTTATTGTCTATCATTTTCTAGACTCTTAATTTTGTTCCATCTTTTAAAGCTGTTTCATCGTTCCAGTTGTGGTCATTTGATGATGAAAAAGAAAAGGTATTCTAAAGTCTCAATTAAATAATACTTACTTTCAGCTTTGCATAGGGTTTAAGTCGGGTCTGATTCAATTACATCATATTTTCGTATCCACATCTCTGCTTGTTTTTGAAATAAAGTTAGCAGAAATACCTCTATGTGTTGTAATTTCACATTATTCATGCTTGAATAGAATTATTTTTAGTGTATCTCTCCTCAGTTTCTGTGTATTGGACTGGAGAATTGTTATATGTCAGTGGATTTACGTACAAGCTGCATTGTAGAACTCTTACGCTCAGTAGAAGAACCAGCACGAAAATACATAGCCCATTTTACCCAAGTATGTTAGAATACTCTTATTTTTGATAAATATATATTATTTTAGAATGAATTCATCGTTTCAGGTCCTGGGTCGTTGGCTATTATTGTTGATACGAATGGAGTCTCTCATCGAGCACCGCTTCAATTGTCATCAAATATAGTAGATGTTTTTGTGTGGAAAAATTATTTTTTCACAATTACTGATGAATTTTTCACTGTTCACAAGTATGTGTAGTTTGAATTTTCCTCCATAACTTGATTATATATTGATATATTTGAGAGTTTCACTTAAAAATCTAAAATCTAAGTAGTAATCCTTAGATAATTTTTAATCGATTAGTACAACGTAGAAGTTGTAACAATCACGCATCTGTTTGGATAGCCTTAATTACATAAAGCGCACAAAAATAATGTCCAGTGACGGGTCAAAACGATCTAATTTACAAGAATATTGAGTAACAAAGATGAAAAATAGCATTGGTATGCTTATATTATTATAATTTCATATGAAAATTTGAAGTAGACAAAGAACAAATATGACACTATGTTTCATATGCTTTTTGACTTCTTTTAACCTTTGGTGCTTACAGTAATCACATATAATAAAGACAGGTTAGTTAATGTCGATCGAAAAGTAACATCGTACGTGATGTGGTAACTAGTTACTCTGCTTATCTTATTGATATGAATTCCTTACAATTGATAAAGTAAGAATATTATGCATTTTCATCACATATATAATACACGCTTTATACGAAATTCTAATTTGTTTCAGTAGTTCCAAGGAGGATACATCTTGACTGTGAACAAAAGTTTAAATATTCGTCAGAAAGAGGATGATTTTAAGTTGGAATTCATCATGGACTAACATCAGTTGGTGGAACATTGGAAATCTGAGAGCACTAGACAGCTGTTTCATCCTAGTATGGAACTCCTCAGCAGCGCACACCCATGACCCCACCCACCAGGGCCCGAAACCCAGGATCTTCAGGTTCCGTGGCCAGCACTTTAACATTGAGCCACTAGGTTGAAATCCAGTGGTCCACACTTCCTACTTCTATCAATAGCGCGACCTACATCCAAAGTCATCGCTGAGTGACTGTCCTCATGTTTGACTTGGTTGACTACACTGGTCATGACTTTTCATTGAAACTTCGGGAATCACCTCTCGAAGCTAGTCACCAATGAGCGCTGGATTAATTCTGTCAGTTTATGATAAATTCTGACCTAAAATCAATTAGTAAACCTCCAGATAGAATAAAAAGAGGATGAGTAGGCTAATTAAGGGAGTGCTGTTATAAAACTAATTAATTTGAAAAGAAAAAACGTTATGACTAATGTACTCTGTGCACTGTGGTAAGTGGTCCTGGTTATTTATTTATTAGATATTTTACACAGTAATACTCTTACTGGATGTTCCTTGCATAACAAAACTGGAACCTAATTTTAGCACTTTTAATCCCTTTTTTACTCATGTAAAGCAGTCAGTATTTAGTTTGTATCCTGCACTTTCGGATGTGATTCCACTTATCAAGGTTTGGACAGTCAGTTAGGACTGTTAACTGTCAAACTGTTAATGTACTTCTTAGCCTAATATACAAATTTATGCGTTTTTGAATTACTTTCCTTTCCCTTTCTTTGTTTTGGCGCAACAGTTTTTTCCTTATATCTGAAATAAATTATTGAATGTTTATTGTGAATCTAACTGTAGATATTGAACTAACAAAAGACAATTCAGAGAAAATTTTCTTTTCGACGAATCATTTTCAAAAGCTGTACATCGTGATCATAGTTACGACAAAATATATAACCATTAATAGCTAATGAGTCCGTATAAAGTCATCAAAAAAAGTCAATAAAGTTAAAAGATGATAACGGCTAGAGGGTCAACCCAAGATAACCAAAAATTGCTTATTGGATTGTGATAAATAAACAAATGGTAAACGTATAAAATGTCTTAGGTAGATTACGACCAAGTTAAAATTAGATATTGAATGCATCTTTTGACAACGCAAAAATCAGGCTTGTACCATTGGATTGCGAAAACCTTTGCTGTATTGAAGTGGAGAACAGGCACTCCCTTCGAAATGATATTGAAAGAAGACTCTCGTGGAGAAAAGCGACCCGAGTTAATCGTATCCTTAAGAATCGAGCTGATGATATTGAGTTCTATCCGAAAGGTTGTTCAACAGTTAATACTGTTCCACTGTGTATTATCTAAAAAAGACTACTTTAGTTCCATATTTGTACTCTTATAACGTTCTGTAACAATTTTCTTGTTGTGTACATGTACAACCAGTATGATAATGTGTTCTGTACAAAACATTATTAGGAAAAATGAATAACTGAGACTAAAGAAGTTGTGAAGAGTGTCCTGTGATGAATCAATGTTTGAGTTAAGTAGCATAAAATGTAACTTAAAGTAAAGAAATTGATTTTTGTATGTCCTATACATGGACTTTCGGTATCCAAGTTTGATAAAAGGAGTAGTTTGCTTTTTGTGAAAGTAAGGCTATGCTTCTAAGAATATAATAAAATTGCTTAAGTGGTATGTGATGCAGGTGCTAAAGGAAAAACTAAAAACATTTGCTGGATGATTTTAAGCTGAAAATAACCCTGTTCGAAGACAAATAGATCTCTCATAAAACTTCATTGTCTGAATCTACGATATGTGACCTGAATGAAAAAGTATAAGAACGAGCCTACGACCATATCTAATGTTTGTTTTAATTTGCATTGATATATTTTATATTTTCAAAGGCTCCATATAAAGAGCCTTCGATGGACTTAGGAATGTTCATTGTTGAAGAGTTCTTGCCTCATGAAATGAAAACTTCCCATTTTGCGTAAACATGTATTATAGTTATAACTATGGAACACTAACAGATTCTCATTAGCTGTATTTACATATCGTACTGTTCTATGGGCCAAGTGTCTTAATATTATGCACCGATGTGGATTTTGATTTCAGTTGTTCAGGTTTATATGCAGATCCTATCAGGAATAACATAGCTAGCCAGTAACCTGAACTCAGTAACTTAAAAACTATTATCACGCAGGATGAACACTGTTGCACTCCTCAGACAATCTTATAGAGGTGTCTTTAACTAATATTGTGCATGTAAAATACCATATTGATAGTTAGCAACTATTGATATTCGTTTTCGGTAACAGAATATTGTTTGATAGTGAATAAAAACACTGTTCACTGAACATGTCTAAATAGCCTAAATAGCAGTCACTTCTACTGAAGTATCTTCATGTAGGGGATTTCAGACTACAACTCTGTATTATGAGTTACTTACCTGTTGTGGTCTACATGCATACATAATTTTTCAACGGTAAACATTTGCATTCTTATTCAGTGTCTATACGATCTTTCAAGTGATCATGAACAATAAAACTAATATATGCTGCCAGTCCATGAAGTCTCTTACTGTTGGTTGTAACGGTGTAGGGTAATGTAGACAAATATTTGCTGATAGGAGTGAATAATAGCTGTTAGGGATGCCTATATTCCTTATATTCCATACTTATCACTTGTGTATTTTGAACTGTTTTTCTTCCCGCTTTTTTTTCCACACGTGGATCACATTTCATATAGCACCCTAGCATTCTGATTGGCTACCGCCTCTTTAAATGTACTGATTACTCCTTGTCTTTCAAGGTTTCTGTAAACTATAAATAGAGTCCCTTTTTACTACTAAGCATTTTCAGTTCGAAGTACTATAAACTATGTTGATTTACGAGTTTTTTGATTTCCCTCTGCGAATCACTCGGGTGGAAACGTCCTTACCCCGGACTATCCATCAATAATTTCCGTTTGTTCTCACAGCTGCTCATCATAACAATAACATGCTGGAGATGGCGGTCCCGGGGTCGATTTTTGCGGTGTCATGGTAGACACTGCTAAGGAGTCTTGCGCTGTGGTGGGACAGCTATCTAGTGCTCCTAGGTTTCCATTGATTCTCCAACTGATGTTAATCCGTGATTAATACTATCTTAAAATAAATACCGTTCACTTTTTTTTCATTATTTTAGTATCCTGACACAATGCCAGCTACAAACTGTGAATCTCAAAAAGCCGTCCGTAGCTTGTTTTTCTATGGATTTGCATTTGCTTTTCATTGCTACCTCATCTAACTCATCGGATTACAGTACAAATATTCAGGTATTAGGCCCAGAGCGTTGGGATCTTGTCGCACGCAGATTCATTATAACCGGTTGCCTAAAACAAGCATTCTGTATACAGGAAAACGAGCGAAATCGTCTTACTCAACTTATACAAGTTCAAGCTGAGAAATTTAAGCATGAACAGCAGTTATTTGATATGGTAAGTTTAGTTTAGTTATTCACATTTTACTTCTAGTTGTACGTTGCTAGTTTTTACTTCTTCATTGAGTTTAATTGCTTTATTCATTTCATCGACACCTATTAAATATGCTTTAGTTTCATTCTTGTATTTGTAAACGAAATATCATCATCCCTAAGAGTTTTATTTGAACACTAGAACTTCAGAACATTTCGATTAACATGAGCTTTTCTGTTGTTTTACCTGTTACACAGTTTAACAGTTAATTTATGCTAATAACTTCACCATTTCAGCTGATATAACTGACTTATTTCTTATCACTACTATCACCTCTTTGGTATAAATGTTTTTCATTATGAACTAGATGACTGAAGTTCATAGTGAAACCATGGTTTCAAATAACAGGTCAAGGTAATCAAGGCTATCAAAGTATATGTAGTTTTTGTTGATCACTTTTTTCTTTTACTTCCATTGTTTGTTTTCAAATTGATCGATAGTGAGATGAACCACTTTTTTATAGGAAACCATATAGTACTATTTATATTATCTTCAGAGACGCCAGCGAGTTCTTGGTCTTTTGGGATTTTATCATTTCGAAATGGGTGAATTCAAGAAAGCAGCATCCTATTTTGAACAAAGTGTTATAGACATACGGGAAGTGAGTTGACCATCGTTATTATTATTATTATTATTATTATTATATTGTCAGGCGTCTTTATTCTGGCTAAGCGACATCTGTTCTTTTATTTATTCATTTTTAAATTGACGCTTTGAAATATGTGTTACATTTAAGAATACTTTTTCGTATAAATTAAAAAAAGGAGAACTAGGAATACTTGTACCTTTACTCCTGCATTATTAACCATTAAGTTCTCATTGGTTCAGTAGTAAGATTTCCTTCTGTATTTCCGTACATTTTGGGTTGAATTATGAAATGAGTCAACTGTGAATGAAATTTACAGAAAATGTAATTTTTCTACTCTCCTGTAAGAGGTTAGCTTCAACACAAATTCATCAGTAACGAAATCTCTGACTGTAGTGCCAATTCCTTTGGAGGTACACTGGCTACTGTGAGACGGCAAATACTTCTTGGTGATGACTGTTAACACACTAAAAATAGGATCTTAGTTTCATATTGAGTACTTCTATCAACTTATAATCACTGAGATGTTATTTTTTTTCTTTCATATTATCGAGTTTCAGTAACAATAGATTTCTAGTTCCCAGTTGCTCCGCTAACAAATTTGATAAGAAAGCACTACTTTCTGTATATCATAGGTTAATTTTTGCAGGAAGTATCTAAAAGTGTTTTGAAATTTACCAGAATTTATCTTTGTTCTAATTTATGAGGTAGAAGACTATGCCTATCCAGTTTGAGCATCTGTAGGGTATGTAATAGTCATATATTATTTTTTTTCTACCAGATTGTATCCTAATGTATGCCAAATAAATAAAAAAACTAGGAGTCAGTTTACAAGTCTATATGTTAGTACTACACTTAGTTTGGTTTTCGAAGAATCAAGATTGAAAGAATCCTATTGTAAATTTATATACCCTATCCTACCTTTTCTTTCTAAAAAAAATAACCAATTAGATCCTGTTTCGGTATACTGATCTTCTACCAAAAGGTTGTTATTTTATGCCGAATTGGTTCTATAGATTACATCAGATTAGTAATACACAGCCCAGTTATGATGAAGATCCTCAAACTTCTGGAATCAATTTAGTTAGTGATTTATGCATTTTAAGAGCTTCAGAAGATTCAGACAATGATCATGATCTCTTGTCCAGTTCATTTTGGCTATTGAAGTATGAAGAATTTCTTTTCAACTTTTTACGGAAACATCATCAAAGTAAATTTGTTGAAAAATACTTACATGTAAGTATTATTGTCATTCAATGTTATTTATACATAAATTAATTTATAAATGGAGGTTTTAATTTCCTAATTTCTTGTTGCAAAATACTTGTATTCTTGGTTCCAATACTACCTGTAAACCATTATCATCAGAAAGTAATCAACTTTTCTGAGAACTCGTATGTCAATGGAGTTAAATGTGTTTTCTGTTTTAAATATATATATGTAGAATTAACTTTACTGGGAAATAATACCTTTGTTTATGAGTTTAAGTTCTTAAAACTGGTAGATTCTGAGTTAGAGTTTCTTCGCTGAAACATCGGGACATTCACTGTGATTTAGATTTATCTAGCTAGTGAATCGAAACATACTTCCTGAATGTCTACTCACAAACACTAACGTTTACTGTTAATCATAATCCTTACGCACCAAAAATTAAGACAGTGGTTTACATTACTATTAACAGTTTCTTATTTATTTTAGAATGCAGGTATGTTTAAAATTCACTAACTGAGTACACATCCGTGTAACAAGTTGTGAGCCATATGTAGTGTGTGAAAATCATCTGCCTACAACAGTGAGCTTTATCTCTTATAAATAAGGCTGATATAGGGTAATGAAAGTTTTTGAAAGTGAAAAAGAATTATTGATAGCGAAGTCAACCAAACGCTTAGTGTTTAGGTGTGTACTAGGCTCACTTCTGATACACAGATTCAATGTACATAACTAAGATTCTCGTGATAAAGGAAATATATTTCAAGTTGTTATTCATCGTAGACTGATATCAGTTGGAGGAACAAAGGAAATCTGGGAGCACTGAACAGCTGCTTCGTCCTAGTATGGGACTCCTCAGCAGTGCACACTCACGATCCCGCCCTCCAGGGATCGAACCCGCGACCCTCATGTTCCGCGGCCAGCGCGTTGCCATTGAGCGCTATGTGGTGAGCCAACAGAAGTTGAAAATATGGACCGCTGGATTCCAACCCAGTGGCTCAATGGTAACGCGCTGGCCGCGGAACATGAAGGTCGCGGGTTCGATCCCTGGAGGGCGGGGTCGTGGGTGTGCACTGCTGAGGTGTCCCATACTAGGACGAAACAGCTGTCTAGTGCTCTCAGGTTTCATTTGCTCCTCCAACTGATGTCAGTCTACGATGAATAACAACTTGAAATATTTCCAAATCTCCACAACTCCCTCAAAAATTCAATTGAAATATATTTGTAAAATCCTAATGAAGTAGAAGTTTATTTTTCTACTCCATCGGGATTTTAAAAATATTTTATTTATGATTCATTTACCCAATGCTCAGGTCAAATTTTGATCCTAAAGTTTACAAAATTCCTGTGATATTTTAATGGCCTGTAAACAAACTAAACGTATAACTGGCAACATTTTGATGGTTGAGTAAGTTATATCTACGCTATTATCATCATCAAGATCAACATAGGACCAGGTGTTACTGCGTAACAATCCAAGTTGTCACACTTCACATCAGCATATCAAGTAACAAGGCAATAAAATGAAAGGTGAGGAAATAAAAATCGGTCAAAAAAAGTAGAAGGAAAAATGAGATAATGAGATTAAGTATGGCGGTTAATGCGAGTATAATATGTGTATGCATCTCCACCATTATTATCACCAGCTACTTGATATTGAGTTTATTGCACCGATGAATTTAGGCGTTGGTTTTATAGGTAAGGCGTAAATGTACAGATGGATAAACGTAATTACTGTAGAACTTGGTATAACTGTATATTAGTGTGAGTCACTACACTTCACATCAGTACATCGAGTTAAAGTTGAAAAGAGGAAAGAAAGCGAAGTGAGCATACTAATGTCATCAGTTTTAGAATCATGTTAGACAAAGCAAAAAAATGTAGTGGTAACGAAAGTGTATGAAAATAACTTATAAAGTGATAAAATGTGGATTCATCTGCGCTTTTGCTATAGATTCCTACCTGTTCCTACCAAAGTCAATGAACATCTATTTTGGTTCTATCTCAGATTGCAACCAAGAAATATATTTCCTGACACCTGGCTCAGACCAACAGTAAGAGACTTTATAGATTCGGTACCATGCCCACATGTAATAATGCTTTCCATACTTTATACACTTACAGTTATCCTCATGAAGTCAACATATCCTCAAATACGACTAATTACTAAAAGTATCTGTTCATATGAATTCTACTGATGTGTGGATATACATAAATTCATAAAATACAGCATAATAATACATATGTGTATGTATGTCTATGAATAGCTTATTACAGAACACATATGATGTACGGATGTACTATACAATATTCAAGTATGTGAAACTGTCAGGATTTCAAACTTTCCACTCGATATTCATTCTTAATGTTCTTTGTTTTCTTTAATGTGTACTGTACTGTTGTGTATGAAATACATTGAGATAGTGTTCTCGAACTCGGAATTCCGACATACAGTTCTTCCTTACAATTGTCTTTCTTTTTCAAAGTGTAAATAACTATGTGAAGTAATGCATATATGCAACAGATGAGATAGACTGATCGATCTGATTTTTAATTTTTTAGTTGTTTGTTATGCTCTCTGTAATTGAATTCGAGGAAGTATCTACATAGTACGAAAAAATATTTTATGGTTATATTGACTACTGATAGTAGTATCATTGTTGCTTGATTTTTTTTCGCTAAACCGTATCAACATGGGTATAATATGACAGCTTATATGCGAATATTTGTTGTATGAGAATTCGACTAAACTTTCCTATTTAAAAGTAATGTAGTACAGGCATCATTATATGGGTTCCATAAACACGTCTGATGTCGAATATTTTTTATCTTCTACCAGCGATACTTGATAATTAGCATATCCACTCACATCAGTAGCATAATTTTGTCTGATTAATTGAATATTTGACGAAGGGGATTGTTCCACTGGCTCAACAGAATTCCGTTGTTTGCCGTTTGCCTTCGCCTTTACTTTTTCTTCATCATTTTCAGTTAAACTTTCCGATACAATGACCACACTGTTTCCAACAGAAATGCAAGATACGGTCGTATCTTCTTGAAGCATGATACATGTATTTTTCCCTTGGGATAAAGATGAGTTTGATCGTTTTAAATATGCCAGAGTTATTTCACGTCCTTTGGCTACAATACACCTATGTCCCCATAAGGCTACAGGTAAATTTGTACCTTTCTTCCAGCGTGAATTATTTTGTTCATCCACTTGATGCATAGGTGTCAGCCAAATCGGTCCAATATTTTGGTTTGATGTTGTCACGCAAGTATCTAGTTGTGAAATAAATGATTCGTGTATTGGATAGGGCTGATCTGATTCCGGTTTCGGTATCCATGGTTTCCATGTTTCTACTTCATCTGTACAAAAAGCTTCCCCACCACCTCCCAGACAGACCAGTTCATTTTCAAATAGGCAAGCTGCAAAATCAGCACGTTCTTTTGCTGGAGGCATTAGTTCCCATATACCTGTTTCTGGGTTATAGCGTTCCACTGTGCTGCCGTAACCTATATTCGCTTCACTTCCAGTCAGTCCTCCACCGCCAAGTATAAATAATACACCTTCTACTGAAATAGCCTGAGCATAATAGCGTGCTTGGGTCATAGGTTGAATGAATGTCCATTGGTTTGTTATTGGGCAGAACATTTCACAGCTGTTTGTCAACGTCTCCATTCTACTTTCTGTGTATCCACCACAAACGTAAAGTACTCCATTTAAAGAATCAGCAGCAGGAGCACCGCGAGCTACTAACATACTTGGTGCTTCTGTCCATCCTCGACTTACCATCCAACTTTCCACATTTAGGTCATACTTTTCCACGCTGTTCAATACACTTTTATTATTATCTCCCCCAATAGCATATAACGTTCGGTTGTTCAAGTTGACCAGAACTAAGTCACGTCTACTTTCGTGTAAGGGTGGACAAGTTTTCCAGCCAGATCTTCCTTCATTCCGTGCATTACCTGCGTTAAACTTAGCTAATAGGTCTAAGCGGATAACATTGGGAGTGGTTTTTGTGTCTACATGCTCACCACCAGCTATGTAAATGTATCGATTATTCACTAGGCATATACCAAAACTCATCAATGCTGTCGGTAATACAATCCAATCATTAAGACTAAATTCGCTGTTACCTACTTCACTTTGTGGTTCAAATGTGATCCATTCATCTTTACGAGCATCAAAAACATAAACATTTTGAGAAGGTCGTCCTTTTTGCCATCCACCGAATACAAATATAGCTTCATGTGGTATTCGTGGATTATTTATCAACTCTATCTGCCATGATGATGATGATGATGTGTTTCCAGTAATTGTGTCAATATTTTTTAATGAAATACCACTAGTGTTCATATCATGTTGTAATTGTTCTTTTTGACTAATCGTTATTACTGAATCACTTTGTGATTCGCCTAATCCGTCTAACGGACGAAGATTTCTATAAATTCTCAATAGTTTACGTCTAGCTTGTCGAAATGCAGTAACACATGCAATTCTTGTAGCTGTTAACTGTCTAGCTGATGAATTGATCTTTGAATTATATCTTGGCAATCGTTTTACCATTACTGTATGACTATTACTATTTGTTGTAGTAGTGTGATGAATAATTTCTATATTCTCTTGATATGGTTTATACTTTAGATAAGGGAATTCATATATTGTCTCTAAATCATTTAATTCTAAAAAATGAATACGCACACAGTGTGATAATAGTCTAGGTGCTGCGTTAAAGCATAGATTGATATTTTTTGTTCTTTCTGGGGTTGTTTCTAACCATCTCTGAATAGCATTAATTACATCACCTTCCCGACTTATATTTAAATAATCCGAGGTTAATAAATACTCCAATTCATCAACTGTTAACTCTTCATATTTTGTTAATTGTTGTTCATAAATATGATTGTATAATTCATTATTATTCCTAAATGATAATAACTTGTTAAAATTAATCAATATATAGTCTTCAACTAATTTACTCGCATTAATATCAATTGTTTTTATAACTATTTTACCATTATTTAATGGTAAAGATTGAATATTTTTTGATGAAAAAGGTCTAAGTGTACTTTTCCATAATTGCCAACAAGTATATGGATTACACACTTTTTTTATGTAATTATAACAAATCTCAGTTAATTCATATAGTCCATATTTATTAGCAATATGTAATCCTAGTAATAGTGTACAATCAATTGAGCATAATTTTATCATTAAATTTTCTTCATAGTAGATTATTTCATTCAAATTGTTCACTTGTTTCATACTCATCTCATTTACTGTTATACTATTAAAATGATTTATTCGTGTAATGTAATCACTTATCTGTCTGTATGTTTCATTGAAACATTGAATACTAGTAATATTACAATTTCCTATATGACAATAATGTATAGTAAATGCTAATTCTTTAATACAATCTAAATTTTCACAATAAATAAATAATGGATTTTGTGACATAACATCTTCATGTGATTGTTTAAATTTGTTTAGTTCCCATTCGATTTTTTTAATTTTCCATGAGCCCATTGAATATTGAATATTATCATTTCTTGTTTGAATAATCTGCTGATCTTTATTGAACCGTAATAACTCTTTAAATTGTTTACTTCTAGTTGCTAGTTTATATGCATTAACGTAGATTATTTGTTGGGTGTTTAGTATTACTAACGGTTGGTTTAATGCCCATTGCATTGAATAACCTGCTAATATATTATTTGGTATGTACATTGAAGCTTTTCTATCGATGATATTATTTCTCAGATTTGAATCCATTATAACACTTAGTGTATCACCAGCCTCTGGGATTCGATGTAAATGAATCATTTGCTTATTTTTCCTGTAATTCTCTCACTTTCAGTGTCTTTTTTATCTTTTAATGTGTATTTATGTTTTGATGGGGACTTTCAGCTAACATGATCATAATATGTGTAGTCAGACTGACTATTGATTGAGAGTTTTCAAACGCAATAAATTATCGATTTTTTATTATTAGTAAAGTATCATAACAGTTTGTGTAGGATTCATTCGATTGTTTCCATGTGTTCACTGTAATCTAAATTGGTTCAGATGAGAAATACGGATTGGCTTATTCCCAACATGTATTCATTCTTCTAGTTTGTTGTTGACCTGGAGATGAAGCGAATTTTTATTGAGACTATGACACTGCAAATCTTAAGATATTGAACGTCCCGTATAAGTTACATAGAAGAATTGTTCCGGTATAATCTAATAAACCGTATTTATTATCTATTTGATTTGTAATTGAATCATCAACACAGTATTGATGTTGATCTCATTGAAATTATTGGCGTGAATACAACTGGCTATTAGAAAGGGACTATGGAATGGCAGTGTACTTTTGAGCTAGTAATAGAATACTGTTAAACATGTTACTACATATCTATTCGAATGACTTCATATGATCAGTACTTAAAAATAAACAGTATGAATGAATCAATATTTCGAAGATGAACGCTAAATATCACGATTAGCGTTCGATTTTTAAGTAATATTGACGTATAAACGGTCAATTGGAATGATAGTGATATCTCGTTTCATGATAATGTATGTTTTCGACATCAGTCTAGATTATCGCATATATAGTTCTAATAAAATTTAGAATTCACTCATTTATATTTTAGTCTATCAATTCCCTATTTTAAAATACACTTCACTACTATTTGATATCATTTAGTAAGCCTCCTTTTAATGAATTAGTCCTTGTCCCCTGCATGTGAACATGTTTCTACTTTGTTTCGTAGTTAACGGCAGTGAAATTAGGGTACAGTGATATAGCATTACTTAATGGTTGACATTTTGAGCAGAATTTATTGCTCATCACCATATCAGCGTAATCATACAAACTTTAGTTGTTTAGTTCAACAATTTTTCTTTTATTTAGGTGGTAAATAAAATTTCCCAGATGTTTTTAATATTTCATGAATTATCCCTGTTAACGCCTATTAGGTGTTGATCCAATGAACAAGGATTCTGTAACCAGTCTCTCTTTCTACCCAGTTATATTCGATTTTAAAATTGTCAATCTATCCCACTTTATATTGCAACTGAGTCATTTTAAGCATAGCAATATCTAACTTTTCATCTGAATTACTTATCTTAGTAACGTCTATCATTCTACGCGTCGCTATATTTTTGTGCTCCACTATCTTGACTAACCCTGCTTGGCTGGTTTAACCTCATAACCATAACATGGTATTTGATAGATTCAGGTATTTTGCTTAATTGTATCTACCAGATCTTTGAGCCTAATAGGCTTTGAGTGAGCTTTTGGGTTTAAATTCCACCATAATCGAAGCATTCTTAAGAGTATGACTTGAAACTTTCGATATGCCTTCTTTATTTACTAACAGTGTAGAAAGTTTGAATTCCCACTTTTTAATCTTGTTCACAGCTATGTCTGCAAGTTTCTTAATTTCCTCATATGTTCTTTATTAGACATGTTCCTTGACTTCCTTTAATTATTCTGCCCTATCCATAACTACTTTCTAGTTGCCTGGTTAGAAATTACCAGTGGGTCTCAGTAGCTTCTTTAGAATTATTGCATGCACTTGGACGCATTTTTTCCGGCTCCGACCTCAATGAGGAGCGGAAGCAACTCAAATGCAGACCGAGAAAAAGCGGATACCCGCGAACAGTGATGGGCAGGGAAGGCTAGGAAGATGGGAAAGGCAGCAGTGATGTGTAACAGTAGACAGTTATTTAGATATGTCAAGGAAACTAGTACTAAAAGTTCAATAGTTAGTGAGGGTACAACTGAGAAGGATGGGTCTATGATTCACTTGGAGTTGAAATGACTGGAACAGTGGACAGAATGCTTCGAGGAACAGTTGAACTTCCCTTCATCTACTATTGCGTTGCCTGCTATACAATCAGAGCCTGAACAGAACGCCGACATAGCACACCAACACTTGCAGAAGTCGTGAAAGTTATAAGCAATCTGAAAGGACTTAGAGCAGCAAGGTCAGACATGCTAGCACTAAGGGTATTTATGGACGGTAGTAGCGGATTATTAGTAAAGTAAACTGAACTTTTCACTGGTGTATAGAATTCAGATATGACCCCCTGTGACTGGTTCCAATCATTGATTGTCCCAGGAAAGGAGAGTTCTCTTGTGATAACCATAGGGGAACCATTTTGACCACCATGATGTCTAAGATTCTAGGTTCTATAATCATTAGATGTCGAAGTGGGGCTGGCGAACAGGGAATGCGAGAATACCAGATAGGCTTCATACCTGGTGGTGAATGCATCTATCAGATATTCCCTCTCCAACTGGTACCAAAACTCGGACGCACTTGCCGACGCCCAACACGTTGTACTTCCCGACCTAAAGGCTGCATTCGACCCTGTCGACTGGTAGGTTTTATGGCAGTGTATCTCACTGAAAGAAGTACTGGGTAGTTGCACCACTCTGTTAAAGGCTCTGTACTTGAACACCCTTGGGCGTGATATAGCCTATGATTAGTTGTGAACGTCAAGTCTTATCTGTCAAGGAAGTCCACTTTCTCCACTTTTATTCATCTTTATCATAGACATACATGTAAAGGTTTCCCTCTCCTCGTGTAACTTCACGGGAATTGATCTCATCACAGAAGATTCCATAGTAGATCAATAGTATGCATATGACATGGCCCTGCTAAATGAAGACCCTGACAAAATACAGAGTCTTCTGGACACCCTAAGTGACAATTTGAGAATATTTAGAGTGGGTTCCTCACCATCTGAATGCAAATGTTTGCTCTGGAACTGGTCTTAAGTGGTACTCTGTCTAACAGTAGGAACTGAAGTAGTTAAGTGCATTGGCCACTTCATCACTTACCTTGGAAGTTACATCAACATTGAAGGGTCAGTGACCGATGAGATCTCTGCATGGATACAAAAGACTCGCCTGGCTTGCTCCAACTTATGCCACCATGATATCCGATTGTTGATTAATGGTCGAATGTACCGCGCCTCAGTTGGCTCTGTTTTACTGTGGTTGTAAAGGCGGAGGATATGAGAAGGCTTCAAGTGTTTTAGGGAGGAGAGAGGTGTCAGTTGATGGAGTTGTGAACCATCATCGACTGAGGTGGCTGGGACGTGTTTTACCTATCTCTAGCCACCTTCTGCCTCTTCATACAATCTTAGCTAGAATTGGTTTAGACTGGGGGTGTTAGTGACTGCCGGACTAAAATATAGTATCGGTGGATGCAGTCTTTGACTGTTAGTCTGAGCCGTGTAGAGGAGTGTAGACCTCCCCGTTGGCGTCCGTGTGAAAACAGAAACCTGTGGTTGGAGACTGTAGGTGACATGGCTCAGAATCAATGTCAGTGGCACAGATGTATCCACATCATTCTTATCATCATACTGAATTCAGTATTTTCTCGTTCCTGTTTGTTCTCTCTTCATGACTTTCCACCACTATTTACTACTTTCTTCAACTTTTCTTTGTCTTCCATCTTGATGCTTTCTGTTTTGCTTTGGTGATATTAAATGTGGCAACTTGGATCGTTCTGAAGTAATGTCAGGTCCCGTGTTGCTATTGCTTTTCTAAGGTAAATATTCTTTATAGTCGAAGCAACATTCTGTTAGAACGGATAGAAATACAGATGACTGAATAATGTTTTTCATGCCCCTAATCTTGATCAAAGGTAGTGTCTTTCACGTTTGTTTGATCGGTTCTCTACTTTAGTGATGGTTAGTGGCTAGCAGTGGAATCCAAGATGCGTGTTTCATCCCATTTGGAACTCCTCAGCTGGATGTGCCTGCTTTCCAGTGAGCGATGTTGTTCCCACTAAAGCTCCAGCCCCGGAGGCAGACACATCAAGCTGGCCAGTCCCAAATAAGATAATAAAAGTGTCTTGGATTCCACGGCTGGCCACTATCCGTCATTAATATAAAATGAAACCTTCACAGACTTGTCTTTTGTGTATTCCAGTAGTATAGGGACAGTAATCAGTATCCATCGTCGTCTGACAAAGTGTTGTGGGCACATAATGATAGTTTCTAATTCGTAACCAATCAGTTAGAAGAAATCCCACAACCCAGTGTTATTGGTTCGCATCGCTTTTACGCTTCATGATATTCAAAAACAAATTTATTTGTTCTTCTAGATAAACTGTTTTGTAACTGTTTCTGCTTCAACGAAGACGCTGTATACCACTGCCGGAATGTGTAACTTTAAGTACTAACTATTAGTTTTGTTATACTGTTTTAATATTTAACCATATTATTATAACTGAAAAGACCACTATTGGTTCAGTCATTTTCGTAGTAAGTGTCATCAAGGATCTCTGACTTCCAAGTAGAGAAGTTATATTAAATTTAAGTTGCCCATATTTCACTTTCGTTACCCAGTCTACGAGTTCTGTGTCTTGATAATCGTCTACTCGATGTAGTGTCCTGCTGATATCTGTGTTTACACCCTTGCACCAAGCCTTAACTTCATTATATCTTGTTTCTTTATTTTGTGACAATAGAACAAGCATAAAAATGATACAAAGGTGTATTGAAAGGTACATTTATTCAGAAAGCACCGGTATTCATAAACTTACAGGTGGCTTTGATACGTTCTACGTTATTTGGGTATTTAAACTTTTAGTCATATGACTATTTGGAAATTTTTTAACTAGATTTCATTGGTTTTGAATGTATTCGATGATTTCTGGCTTCTTAAAGTAAGATATCAAGTTTCTTATCAATGCCGAGTAGAACAGACGGAATCAACAGGTGCTTAGCCCCTTCTAAACACTTTTTGAATAACCTTGCAGCTTTAAAATACTAATAACCATATGATCTCTGTTTTGTTATATTGGCATAGTTATGGTCGTCTGTTGTCGATAATAACCTAATTTAATGTAGGTCAAACTCCATGTGATTAAATAACAGTTCTGACTGCTTCTAAATGTTTCAACTATCATCTGATTATTTTATCGCAGCATAGGAATCATGGTGACGACACTTAAAACGTGTTATTTTTTCTTACTTCATAGTTTGTAGAAACTGCTTTAGTCAAATTATACGTCCGGTTACAGCAAGCTGGTATTCAACCTTATTTTTATGAATTATGTATTGATCCGAAAACATCTTATAATGATTATGATCAGCCAACCGGTGGTTTCTCTCCTACAATCAATAAATCAACGGATAATAATGATGACCAAGGTCTAGTTGATCTTATTTCAAACCTGATACATATTGATGTAGAAGATCTAACTATGTACTTAGAAAAGAATAACGCCTATCATGCTCTAGCGCTTATTTATCGTTGGCAAGGCAATCTTTCTGGTGCACTGGAAATATGGAAGAAGTGAGTATCAGCATTCTGTTAACTTGAAGTTTGTCTCTCGTTTGTTTTGTTTTGTTTTTCATTCATTGGGAAATAAGAATATCCAAACGATCAATATGCCTAAACATCCGCCTATTTTTAAACCATTAAGCACGAACTAGGTGTGCACATTGGTTCATTATTGTTACAAACCCGGTCCCAAATGCGTTTACCTCTGTGCAGACAACTCATAGTGATGCGAATATATTCATGTCTTACCTTCTTTGCAAAAAATCCCACCCTATCATATGTTTTATTTCTTGTCTTGCCTTGTTTTCTTTATTTAGTCCTTCTAGTTCCCCTTTCATTATGGCTAATATAGCTTTTCTCACTCACCTACCTTTCATCTTGTTAGCTTTCCCCCTTACTGCAATGGCGTGATGAATAACAATTTATGCTGATGGACAACTATGCCAGTTCATGCATCGTTTCACCGCCTTTCAACCGTGAGGTTAGCACATGAATTTGTTACGTCTTAGGTTGGACTACATACATAGACCGTTGTCGAACAACAGTCAGATTTCTTTCAGAATTCTCAGTGCTCATAAAATTTAGTCAAATACTGCATAATAACCAAGTAACTAGGTGACCACACATTACAGTTCTGCAGATTGTCCCTCAACTGCTAGGATATGTTTATTCATTTGAAACGTAGTTAGCATAACATGAGCACCAAAATATCATGTAACGGCATGAGGAGGAAATGAAATGTGATACAGAGGACAGAAAAAAAAGGCAAAAACAGGAAAGTAAACCTTTCATCAAAAAAGGAGTCTCAAGCATATATTCGAGAAAGCTTTTCGGTATGGAGCAGTTTCTGATACCGTTTGAAATGCCTTATTTTTTAGATCCAGTCCATGGAGTCATGATGCACTGATGAGACATTTTCAGTCTACTACACCTGGAACAACCTAATCAGTTCCCTGGCCCTAGTCTCATTATAATCATTAAAACAGCTGTGGTTAGGTCGTGTGGGCCGGGTGTATCGTCGAGCTTCAACACTTGGAGTTCCTTCTGGGATACCTCTTTAGCGAGATGGGTCAGTTTTAACATGGGGCACACGATACTGATAAAGTCGGTCGTACTAGAGCAGTAGGTCAGGTGAATTGGTTTTTTAAGTTTTCCACCGTAAACACTTCTTGACTTTTGAAGATCGCTTACCAGGATTCCATCTACTTCACAGACTGTTTCATTAATATCAGCCTTGTTGCTGCCGGCAGCTTGCATGAACTGGAGTAGCTTCCTACGGCTGTCAGATACTGTATCCCACTTGTACTTTCTGAATTCCAGGCTTTGTAGTCCTTGCGTAAATATGACGTGACCTGTCACTTACGGGACTAACGCGTGCTAATGTCCTAGTTGTCTGCCAGAACAGACCGATAATTGTCAAGAAGTTGCAAGAAATACACAGAAACTCAGTATTCATCAGCCGGACTTTGTCTCAAGCTGCAACCAACTTTGCTTGCTATTATCATGGTGTTTTGTAGATGCAACCAATACTCGTCTATTCTCTCTACCGGTTCAACAGCAAGTCTCGAATCTAGCTCAACTTAGTATTTATTTACGATACCGGATATAACCAATTTACTTGATTCAGTCTTCTTAGGCCGACATTTTTGATGAACATCAAAACGCAAGATTAACTTAGCACACTAAAGCGTGATCAGAGTCCCACCAATTGCTTAGGAAGGAGCGGCAGTAGTGCTTACACCCATGCATTCGGGAGCCAGTTGAAACATGATCTACTTGGATCTAAGCATGAGTAGCAGAGAGAGGACCCTAGTTAGCCCAAAGTGGATAGCTGTGACAGAAGTTGGGGCTGGCTAGAAACAGGCGGTGGTCTACACACAGTTAAAAGTAGAAGACAGAAAGAGGCCAAAGGTTTTTGACCATATGTTTTCATATTTTCGCTCTCATTTGGTGGAATCACCATACTGGCAGTATGAAGGTAAGTCGAAAGATACTAGGCAAGGAAGGAAAGTCAGTCGATGAGGTTCTGGAATTTCAGTGACTGAGGTGGCTTGGAAGTATGCTTCGCATGACCAGGCCAAGATGTGGTACCACTCTCAGAAGTTTTTGACTGCTAATCTGAGGCGTGTAGGAAGTTCTAGACTGCTGCCTCGTTGGGGTCCTCGAAATGACTTTATGGGATGTCTGTAAATTGGTCACAATGACACAGATATGTTTATTTTCTCATGTCAACTTAAACCCATGTACTTGTGTGCGAGGTTTTACGTTGATTTTATGCATGTCTGCACAAAGTTGTAGAAGAATATTCTCACCATCCATTCTATCACTTATTGGCCACCTAAGTGACTCTCATGTGACACTAAACTCTCAGCCTGTGCATTTAACTCCCCAGCTTTTCATTAAGATATTTATCAAGCGCACTTGGTGGTACAGTTCATTCTTACTTGTATACGTGATGAAGTACGTCGAAGTCGAGGTGGTGATGAAAATAATACATCATTTCTCTTGCTAGATAACTCTTATTTTAATTGAAACGTACAATTTAATAGAACGTAAACCATTGTTGATAAGTATCCAGTTGACTAGTGAAAGCTTCGGTTCCTCCACTTAGTGCGACATATACATCATCAAATGTGAGTGCTTATTCCACAAGATTGCTATCTCTATGTATGGAAAATGTTTTTTAAACTGTTAGATAGTTATTCGAAAGAATTATGTGGGTCTCTAGGGTACAGAATGCTTTGATAACGGAGTTCCTCGAACTGTAATTGAAACCTGTCAGTCTCTCGGTCGGCATCTGGATCCAGATTTCGAAAGTGACAATCTTAAAACTTACGTTGGGTTTTGAAACAGTTAGGTTAATTATCGTAGTGAATGGACAGCTTTGTGAAAGTAACTGTTAAACAACTCAAAAGTATACATATAGTCGAGATCTTCAAACATCTATGAGCAGTTGAGCCGATTAACGATGACGATAAAAATAGTGCAAAGAAGGCCCATGCAAAAATACAGTAACAGAAATATAATAGTAAAACGAATATTTGAATTTATGTTTCGGAGCGTTTGTAAAGAACGTTTCAGGCAAGCGTTTTAGAGTCTTCATTGAAGTTCTGTATCACCAAAGAAAACTGGAGAGCTAAAGTTGTTGTGACCGAATGGAATTACGTGCGCGGGCATAATGATGCTGAGACTCAATAGACACCTCAACCAAATACTGTTACGACTAACCTCCCTCAGTTCCTTCTGCTTCACTGAGCCACGATGTCAGAATACAGAAGATGAGCCTGTGACCGTAGGAATAACAACTTTACTAGGCAAATACATGGTATATATATATATATATATATATATATATATATATATATATATATATATATATATATATATATATATATATAAAACCCTCAAAAAAATAAGCCATAAATAAACTAATCTGATTTATCTAGGAAGCACTGTTTCAACTACAGGTGGCACTGACGAGGATGTCAAAGTTAGAATCGGAAAAGCAAGACAGGCGTTTGTTTGCCTGAAACCAGTGTGGAGATCTGCACTTAGCACAAAGAACAAGATCCGGATTTTCAACACCAACGTCAAGTCGGTGCTTCTGTATGGCTCAGAGACTTGGCGCATTACGAAAGGGATTTACAACAAACTACAGACATTCATCAACAACTGCCACCTTCGCTGGCTCGTTACTGAAGATCAGATGGTCAGAATAATAAGAATAAGCAACAAGGAGCTCTGGGAACGAACCAACCAAGAACCTATCGCTCAACAAATATGCAGAAGAAAGTGGAGATGGATTGGGCATACACTGAGAAGGCCGGCTGGGGACATCACGCTCCAGGCCAGTTGCTTGAGTGGAACCCCGATGGGAAGCGACGAGTTGGACGTCCGAGGGTGACATGGAGGAGATCATGCGAGGAGGAAATGAGAGGTTGTGGGCTGTCGTGGAGCCAGGTTCAAAAGATTTCAGAGAAGAGAGTGGAGTGGAGGCGTGCTATTGAAGCCCTATGTTCCATTAGGAACCCAAGGGACAAATAATAAAATAATAATAAACTAATCTGATTGGTTGAATGACGTCGAATTTGTCCAACCAGGTTATTATGTCAGCACATGTATAAATCATGATTTGAAAGCAATTTCTCTATTTGGTGCCTTTTTGCCGCTACCTGCCAAAGGTATTGTCTCGAAGCTTAGATCGAAACAGGTGGTTGGCTTATGCAATCATCTCACGAGCCTTTGACTCGAAGTCTGACCCATAAGGCAGTACAACAATATCAGGTTGCTGGCTGTCAAATTAGATTTGAGCACTATTCATCCGTTTTGGACCCTATAGCTTATGTGCACACCTGGTTTGAATCAGGGCTATCTATATTTGAACGCTAGTAATTCAGTGATAAGCACCGTATACAGGCTTGCGTCTTTTTACTTCTGTGGAGACATCTTCGTCACCTGACGGACGAGAATACGATTTCTCTGATGGGAATAATGTAAGCACGGCATTTTGAGAGCTAACCGCTAAATACATGTATTTAAAATTTCTTACGGTTAAGACCCTTACAATTTTCTTATATTTTTAGATTAGTGTATAATGAGCTGAATGATCCAGGTTTTCCAGGAGTGGAATTCTATGTTTCAATTTTATCTGGGTAAGTAAAAACTATCATTAGATAATTTTTACGTATTAACTATTTTTGGCTATTTCGAAAATATCACCATCTATCAGTAGGCAGTGACTATTAGATATTGGTCACTGGCAAATAACCAATTTCATATTTTTATAGTGTTAATCAAACAAAATCGATCATTTAGTAATGTGTTTACCAAGTTGGTAGAGTCACCATCGCTGTGAACTTTTGATTGGTGGTAGTTAATTAGTTGGAGGCCATCGGGAGAAAACCCTAGACCACAGAGTCGTAGTTGTTGACACTTGTCGACAAGGTGTATCTTCAATCTCGAGGAAACTGACGTCTCTTCAGGGATTCGAATCCGTGTTACCCAGTGCTACAGTCAGATACCTTACGACTGAGTTACTCCTTTTTCACGAAGATTTGTAGTTTGAGTAGTTTAGTTTAGTTCGGTGGACTAAAAGACTGACGTTGGACATAAATAGCTTATGAGTCTATTGACAAGTACTTATTGCTTATTTGCTGTCATTTAGGATCAAGTATTATGATATGAATTGTCAGACCACTCGAGCCCTAACCAAGCATGGCAAAACTCAAGTTTTGACTTGTGAATGACTGGCGATAATAATATCTCTGAACACAGTTCATAGCCTAATTCATGAACCCATGTGTATGTGGCTGCCGAATCAAACGTGATTGGAAGGAATTCTAATTAATTCGTTGGTCGAAGGTTAAGAATATACAGGCTGATTTTAACCTTATACGATAAGTGGTGTTATGGGATACACTTCATTGAGAGTAAGCTGTTTTGCACAAGTTTTCACTCAGAAAGAGGTTAATCTCATCTTTAATGTCATTTTACACTCAGTAATGAATATTCTATTGGGAAATAATAGATGTTTTTGTAGTGCGCCCCATTACTGTTTCAGTTAAATTTTGTTTGGTATTACAATATGACTGTAGTATCTTTATAATCTGAAATTTCACGTCTACTCCTTGATTCATTTGGAGTTGTTATTCAGTGTGAAAAGTACCTTCTTAGCTTCACAAACCTTTCAGTTTACTACATTGGATACCAAGCAGTCATATGTTAGTTGATAACTAGTAATAAAAGGCTATATATTCGCCATAAAAAATCCCGCTGTTATTGAGATTCGGTTCGGAGATTTGTAGGGATTTATTTGTTGACTTCAGGTTGGTATTCACCATGGACTGACATTAGTTAGATAGCCATTTCGTCGTAGTATAGGACTCCTCAGCAGTGCGCACTGGTGACCCCCGCCAGCGGTCGAGCCCAGGACCTTCAGGTTCCGTGACCATCACGTTACCATTGAGCTAGTGGGTTGGAATTCGATCATCCACACTTCCTACTTCCGTCAGTTCACGATGTAGCGTGATCTCTAGCCGATGCTTCGTTGAGTATCTATCCTCATATCCGACTTGGTTGACCCCACCAGTTACGACTTCTCATTAGCAACAAACAACATCCATACGATTAAAGTCAACTTCTTACTAGTTGTCGCCATTCAAGGGATACTTTCTGCACCTTACTCTATAACAACATCTATCTTAAAGTAATGAGTAAGTACAAAACATGATGAAAATAATGCTGTTGAAACTGTGCATTCAGCTCATGTCTAGCGAGAGGGTTCTTTAAATCTTTTTAAAATATGAAACTCTAACCTTTAAGATGATCGTCTTCCTACTTTCCAGAAATTTTATATATGTACACCTATGAGTTAATTATTAATAAGAACCCATTTGATAACACCTTGGGTTAATATAACCTTCAAAACGTACTTCGTATATTTATTTACATTTCAGTTTATCCACAACTAATTCGAGTAATCCCCCGAAATCATCACTTCCTAGTACAGCCATTGACTTATCTAATGATGTGAACTATGAGTTTCCTGTGTATGCTGAGCTAGTTTGGAATCATTTTCTAGAAGCCTTAAGTACTGGCCATGAGGATATAGCTAAGGAACTTATGCTTCGTTTTCCAATTCCTGCTAGTTATATTGATTCAATCTGTGCATCACCTGTTGACGAAATTGATACAAGTGTAAATCCTATTGAAATTACGCTGGCACCATCTCAAATTTTATCTCCAAATCATATTGTTCAACAACTCCTTTCTTCGCATCCAAATTTAGCGATCACTTATTTGAAACATTTGTGTTCTTCCCTGCCCAATTGTGTAAGTTTTGGAAATTATCTTGATTTTGAGAAATTACAGCTTAATGTTCGCATAATTTCGTTTCTTTGTACGAAAATTGTCCTCACTGTGTGGGAGCTGTTGGAAGGAAGTGCTATTGCGTGTTGACGACTTGTCAGAAAGTTGTATCTGTATACATTCTTCTAGTGAAATTGTAGTTTGCATTACCTGTGACTTCATCAAAGACATTACAAGTTATCTGTGCTTATCGTAATGGACCTCTTTCAACACATTGTCAATGCACTAATTGATTACCGATTCTTCACGAATGATCATATTGTTTGATTTTAGGCATTTAGAGATCTCAGAAATAAATTTATTCATCCATTTTCCAATGTTCTCAAAGTATTATTCGGTGCAACAAAACAATTGGGACGTTTCTGAGGCCATAAGTGTTTTGGGGTGACTGCTTTTACGGTTTATTTCTTCGAACTCTTCTTATTGGTCACTTACCAATACACTTTTGTGACAACCTCGTATTCATTGACTCGGAGTGTATGCTTTGCTGGGCTTATGGATTTTTCTCCTAGTGCATCTTTACATTATCCTGTCATATATCTAATGCGGCTAAAGTCTTGCTCACTGACATCTGCTTGGTTAGGTTTTCTCTCGGAAACCACATGACAGCAAGAAAGCAGATGTATATTAATATTTAGGATATCCGTTGGGAGGCACATATGAAGCCTGCTGAATGTTACTAATCGCAATCAAATACCAGTGATAGCTTCTTTTTATGGAAGTGATTGGCACAACTGACAAAATCAAAGTAGAACCTCGCATAAAGGTGCATCGCCTCAAGTTGCCACACTCCACAGTAGTATACAAAGAAAATGTAGAAAGAAAAAGTGATATCACGTTCGATAAAGTTGTGTGAAAGAATAAACAGTTTGATGATAAAGGTTAGTACGAATATTCAAACTTTAAAAGATGTCAGGGAGTGAATATATCTGGGACGTTGTGACCGATTTTCAGCCATGTCACCAAGAATCCTTAGCCACTGATTCCTTTCGTCTTGAGGACCCTAATCAGGCAATCTACATCTCCCCACACGACTCACACCAAGAGTAAGAGATTTCTTGGACTTGAACCACGTGTTGGTCTGGCCATCTTGAACCCTCTTCCAACCTAATCCAGCTTACTCTAGCATAGCATATCGAGGTAGGCGGTGACTCAGCATGCGCAAAGCATATTCAAGCCATCTCAGTAGACTGTGGTTCACAGCCTCGTCAACTGAATTACTTTTCTTGCCTAGTACCATTTTGTCTGACCTCAACATTGCTCACACGGTGATTCGATCACACGCGAGTAATGCTACGAAGATACCTGTGGTCGAAATCCTGTATTTGCTTCATGTCTTCTACTTTTAATGGCCATGTTAGTAGATGTTAGTTGGTTGGAGGCAATGGGCAGGAAGCCCTGGACCTAGGTCTCGTGCTTTTTGGCACTCGTCAGCAAGACGTGTCTGCAACCCCGACGGAACTGATGCCCCGCTTGGGACTCGAGCCAGCGTCACCCAGTGTTGTAGTCAGCGACTTTACCACTGAGCCATTCGGGCCACGACTAATCTCCTGTAGGATTGGCTTACATGTATTGATTGGTCATGGAAGTGCAACCAATTTCTTGTTGTCTAGTCCTGAGTGCAGACCGAATCCTATCGCTGACTACAGCACTGGGTGACGCTGGTTCGAATCTTAAGCGGAACATCAGTTCCGTCGAGGTTGTAGATACGCCTTGCTGACGAGTGCGAAAAAGCGTAAAACCTAGGTCCAGGGCTTCCTGCCGATCGTCTCCAACCAACTAACATCTACTAATGTGCACTGCGATGCTGAGCTTCCTAGCGTGGTTACCGAATATCTCACCAGTCGGTGCCACAGATGACGTTAGAAGTAAATTCATTTCCTTAATTTCCTTATGAAAAAATGATATACCTTGATACTTCGATATCCAATCTGTATCTCTGATTTCTCATAGCGTTATTCCCAACTCACACAAGGGAATGGTTTCTTTGTATAAATCAGTTTGACTTTGTATCATCACGACTTTACGATCTGCCAAATTTCCTAAGTGTTATTCAGCGAGAGTTAAAAGGAAATATTGTTTGTAGCCATCACGCAATCTCATAAAAAAAACTGATTATTTTCATAAAAAAGCACACTTCATATATGATAGTTGAACTGTAGAAGTGTATTAGAAATGTTTGTGAAATCAGAGTGAAATATTTCATCCTAAATATATTGACGAGAATTTGTAGCTCAGTCAGAAAACAACATAATACTGAAAATAGTACCTTGGGTCAATACCTTATTCTCTATCCACTATTTGTTTATCCATTAATTTATCTTCAAGATGGTTCTTGTGAAATACGTTATGGTATTATTTTGATTTTCATTATAGCATCCAGAGAATCACAATTTATTAGCCAAACTCTATTTGAATACTTTGTTGAATAAAATAAAGAACTCTGACGTCTCATCAGATGAAATGAAAAGACAAATTCGTGAATTAAGGTAATTCTTATTGTAACTATTATGAATGATAAACAATTTTTGTATACATCGTTTATTTTATAGTGAATAGCTTATGGAACGGGATGAATCTAACAGCTTCATCGCTTGACGCATCAACTCAGTACACAATAATTTATCAGTTTTCAGAAAACAATGTATTATGATGATAATGATACGAATTGTGTTGAAAAACAGTTTGTAGTAGTAAAAAGGTTAGTAGATCAGACTGAAAATGATAGTTGTTAAGTGTTGTCCCAGCTTTGAGGTTTGTTCTCGGACGTTTCATCACCAGGCTATGAAGCCTCATCAGCATTTCATATATATGAAGTCAAGTCACAATATATATAAGGTAAATGTCGATGAAATCGCCTAGCCTGGTGATGAAACATTCAAGAACAAACCTCAAAGTTGAAAGAGCACTAAACAATTGTCACACTTTGTAGTTTTTCTGATGTTTAGCTTGAATTGTAAACACTTGACGAAGAACTCTACTTACATACATTATAGTCGTTACGGTGACTGGAGGAGATGTTCCTTGTGCATTAAGTATTCAGAATCTCGAACTTCTTTTTTACTTACATAAAGTTTCTTTGTGTCAGTTTAGTGAATTATTTCATTCCTGTAGTGACTTACCTTCCATTTTGCTCTTTGAAGTATTGCCGCATAGATCTCAACTGAAACTCACCGACCATATGCAGATTCATCTCCTAGGCTATAGTCCGTATCTGTGTGACAGTTAATAATATTTCCAAGCTGTCGAAATCATGATTTTCAATGAAGGCTTTGGTTCGTAATTCATTGGTTGAAAGTTGAACACCTAAACCGATAAACCGCAATTACGAATCTTTATCTTAGGTATCCCATCGAAAGCACAGACAAAAGTTAACACAAGTAAGATATGATTTTGAAAATAGGATATACGTTTCACTTAAGAATGAAAATAAGACAACTAGAAAAGTATGCGGCTTAACGTGTCTTGTGGGACAACAACTGTACCACTTTTGGACTGTATCAAAGTGTTGCTTACTCAGTAGGAAAATGCAGATGAAGAAATTTGTACTTCAGACAGAATTTGAACATAGCTGCCGAAGATTTGACTGTGAAGGTTGGATTATTATTACACCTGCAAAGTTCTGTAGTTTTTGTGTTTTCTGCATATTTATTATTCTAAAAACATTTTACTGTATGACTGACCCCCTAGTGTTTACGATCACAAAACATTTTGATCGTGTTCTATTGACTATCATACTTTCTTTCAGTCATTAACTTTTAAGAACATGTTTAGCAAAAAAGAGGATGCTTTTCCCCCGGCTTTTTCTTGTTTCTAAAAGTGAGCATAGATTTCTCTCTACATCAGATTCATTTAGTGAGCATGTGTTGTAAAATGACATCAATGCCAGTGTATGGAGGACACCTTTCTCTAATGCTGCATTGACCATCCTTTCTATTCTTCTTGCCATTTCGTTTCCCTTGGAAATTAGAAGGAAGCTGGGGTTTTTTTTAAAAACATTTACATTTTCCCTTCATTTTCACCTATTCCCACCTATAGTTCACTTTAAACTTCCTAGGGAAGCCAGTATCCTCAAGGTTCCTTTGAGCAACGACTGATTCTTCCAGCTTGTTTGCTAAACATGAATGTGCTAGCCATCTATTACCTTTTTTCAACAAAATAAAGCTATACTAATTCAGTTTTTATCCAGTTTATTTTACTTACTGATTTCGTATACTAAGGTCAAAAAATGAAACTTCTTGTCATGTTTGCAGACGAGATTGAATAAGCTTGCTATATATTTGTGATGCAGTTAGATTTGTTGCCAACGTATTTGTAGTGTTACGTTATATCTTTGATTACCAAGATGAACAATGGTTGCGTCACCTAGAGCTATCCTCGGTGAAGAAACCACCACACACTTTTATCGCATAGATCTATTGCCTGTCTAATGGCAGTTTTGAAGCAAAGTAACAAATTAGTTTGTCAACAAATCACACCTAGAATTTCATTTGGTAGATTTTTCGATAATACTGGAATGGGATTATTTCATTTTGTGAGTGTATTCCGAATGTTTATCCGAACTGGTTCTCATAGTAACTCAAGCGTATTTTTCAAGTTGTGAAACCGAGATTTAGTATATTTCAGTGACTGAAATAGTTGATTTCAAATCTCCGAGAAGGAAAATCAGTTATGGACAATATGTATCTGAGAGTTGTTAATTTTTATATTACAATTTGAGTAGATTCTCAATTTCCTATCTTTTTAATCTTATGACCGTGTCCCGTCTAATTTGTCTGTTGTTTATCTCTCATCTTTTGTGTTTTTTTCAAAATAGTAATCTGTTTGTTGATATGAGAGTTTACTGTTGGTTTACAAAATGTTGATATACCATATTCCATCCTAGTATACATCAAATATTGTTATATTTCAAAGAATCAGGTACATAAATTACTTCATATGTATTGTTGACTGAGATAAATAGTTAGAAGTCACTTACACCAACCATATATGCTGTCTAACAAAATGAGCGTAATCGAAAAGTCGGGTCAGTATTGCGCTCATACATCTGTATTGATTCAAGTGTGATAACGGAGTCTGAAATTTCTAGTTAGTTACTCGGCTAGCCTGATAGTAAACTGAACCAAAGCAAGGGTCTGAAATACTCATAGTCCTTAGTGCATATTGATGAAACTAGATGTAACTTATCGATAAAATGAGCAACAATTTATATATGAATTTACCAATTGGGTTGTGATTAATCATGCTATTTTCCCCACGAACTGAGAATCACGCAAACACATTATCGATATTTTCAACTTCGATATTAATGATGGCTAGTACCTAGTAGTGGAATCCAGGACGTGCGTTTCGTCTTACTTGGAACTTGTCAGCTGGATGTGTCTGCCTCGTATTGAGTAATGTTGTTCCTGCTGAGACTCGAATCCAGGGCTACTCGCTTCAAACGGCAGAGACCATTGATTCACGACAACTACTCCTTATGCGATGGGAATATCATGGTATTTTCGCTGTACAGCTTGTAAGTCTCCGTCGTTGATTGGACCGAATTGATCGGTCATTGTTGGCATATGAGCTACTGTGTGGATGCTTCGGTATTGCCGGTATTTTCAACTTTGATATGAATGATTGATAGTGGTTAGCAGTGGAATCTGGGCTATTATATCCAAGTTATAACATCAAGAAAACCATGCTATACAAGTCGCATAAGAAAAATGGCTATTGCGACTTAGTGGCCTAGTTAATAACGCTCTGTTCTGTGTTCAGGTCTTAGTTGGAATAACAATATTCACTAGGAGGCAGGTACACCTAGCTGACGAGTCCCAAACAAGACGAAATGCAAGTCCTGGATTCCTCTGATAGCCAACATCCACCATAAAAAGCACACAAACATTTGTTGTCTTTCTGGTGCCTAAATTATTTACATCACTGGTTCTTTCATGTTCAGCCACTGCGTATATTTCTACTGCTTTCCTGATTGGTTTTTTTATACTGTTTTATTTTGTTATGTATTACAGAATTGAGTTTTGTCACTTGATACGTTATTCTTTGTTGATTTCACATGAAATACTATTGGAGCGTTTGTATAAGGAAAGTGTCTCAGTGCAAAGGAAGCTGGCTTATGAGTTAGCAATATTGGAAGGAAAGGTTAGATAAAAATTCTTTCATTTGTTGTTGTAATACGGTGAAGTGAGTTTATTATGGGAATATATTTTAATATAATCCCAGCGTGTTTAGAAAATCAAAACAGGATATTTCTGAGTTTACTTCTAATATTGTTTATCGCTTTCTTTCTATCCGTAAAATTATTTCCACATTAGAGCAGGAAACTGTATTTTTTTGGTGTCGGCATTAGACTTTCAGCCAGTGGATCTAGGTTCAAACACGTCTCTACCTACCCAGGTCTCGGTAGCTCAGGTATTATGATTATCCCTCACATTGTCTATCGCATGAGCGTACCTATTGTTGTTAAGGCTATATCAATTTTTCGTTTCTGTTTCAAGAAAACAAACAAAAAAACATTTGTTTGTGGTCATCCAAATCAAGTGGATTCAACTTAAGGAAAGCCTTACTTAATGTTATATCTTCGTACGCCAACGGTTACATACATATTCCGAATAATCGGATACGCACGATTAGCTGACACCCAACCTAGTACGCAAGAGCCACTGAATGCAACCCCGGGGCGAACACAGAGAAGACCGAAGCTGGCAGATGGGAGAGTTTATTACTCCGAGAATATAATCAATCATTCAAAACACGTGAATATGTATACACATAAAATATGACCTTGTCCGCAATTGGAGAAATTCGCATAGGAAGAGATAAGATTAACCAATCAGCGAATTACATTACAATGGGGCAGAAATTAACTACTGTAAAATGATGTGAGAATGCGAAGCTAAAAATGTTCAGATCGATAACAATGTTCTATACAAAACTGGCGCCTTACAACACTTAATCTTTCAAATTACAGGAGTTTATTCTGTTTCGATAACAAAGTTTATATGTTTTTATTGTGAGTAGTCAATGGATAGTGTATGGTATCATTATCCGTAGAAGAAACAGTCCACAAAGAGGTCATACATTTAGCGATTTTATTACGGCCACCAAATATTTCAGTCTTACATGCAGATTATCTTTTGCTTTTCAACAGGAAAAAAACATTTTGCAAGTTATTAGAATAAAAATTCGCTTCATATGAAAATTGAGAAGATAGGAGAATTTTTTTTTCAATATTGTAGGTAATGTATATAAATAAATATTTATTCAGCCTAAATCAATATTGGGCTACCGAATTGAATGGTGTAGCGGAAGTAATTACATTGGGCATATTTAAAAATATATAATTGGGTGTCAGTCATAGTTTAACACAGCAATTAATGTGATAATGATGAGATGAAATGAGGGGTCGTCTTTGTCTCAGCTACTAAATAAGTTTTAATACTGTGTATCTTATGGGGTAATATGTCTTTTATGGCATGACCTCATCTTAATTTTGTAATTAGATTGTAAGCTTTTATCACAGTCACTAGTCATTATTAGAACAAGGTGTAATCAGTAAATTAGATTGGTTTTCACAATTATCTATGATTCTCTAGGCTATATTAACTAATGCAAACTGGCAAAGAGTTCTATGGCTGTCTTCCTCTTTGTTAATGATACATGTATCGAAGGGCTAAAAGTAACAGCTTTACCTTTGAAGTACAATACGTTTTCATGTCAACTTTTTATGGTAGAAATTAGTGAAGGAAAGACTGATGGAGTCACTGGTTTTGAGATGCATCGTAGAGGCAGTGTTGCAAACTTTAGGCACTATAATTACACTACTGAATAAACTAAGATTTCAGGTCCACCACATAAATGTTATGTCTTTAATCATTGAAAGAGACTTATCTGAAAGTACTTAGAAATTAATCAACGTATAGTTCAAACTAGAAAAGTAATCAGACAACGACTGAATCGTTTTATAAGGACTAGAAACTTAATTATGTAAGAAATCGACCCACTCTGATAAATTTCTCTGTAACGGTAGCGAGAATCTTACAATAGGAAATCAGTTTCATGCAAACACTAACTAACTCAAAGAAATTTGCTGTGACACACCCACTTTTTAAAGAAATAAAGGATACCATTTACTAACCGTTTCTAAATGAATGATTATCCACTCAGCTTCGTCGAATTACGTTTATGAAAGTTATTTTTGTCGGTGAAAAGACTTACCGTCCCATTTTTCATGATGAAAGCTTTGAAGAAAGAGACTAAATTGTCGAAGTCGTTCAGGATTTGTGTAGTTCATGGAACTAGGACATTTCTTCACTTTGCCAGTGTTGAAACTGAAATGAAAAAAACAAACTAAACTACAACAACTGCGGAAATCGTAGCCGGTTAAGGTGGGTGCCTTTAATCATCTTTTTCTGTGTGAACATTATCTCGCTGTTAAATGTCACAACGTGGCTTCGCTCATATCAATGCATAATGTTATGAGAACTCAACTAGGAAAATGTGAGACGAAGAAATACGAAAAATGTACCTTAGTGTTATAGCTAGATTTCTAACCGTGGCATTTGACGAGACAAATTTTTATTTATTAGTCGGTAACGGATACTTTTTTCTGGATTGTAAACATTGTCAAGCCCAGCTTACTTTGCTACTTACTACTTACTGACTACTTCCGATTACCATCGCTTTTATAACTAACATATTTCCTCGTATAATTTTCTCTTCATGCATAGTTTTATTTCGCTTTCCCATGATTAGGCCAACAATCATACTAAAGCTGTGAAATATCTTATTGAAAATATGAATGATTATAAAGCTGCTCTGTACTACTGTCTTACGTTTAGTCAACAACCTGTACAGATTGATACAAATGGTGATGATCCTACTGCTACTTTAATCAAGTATGACTCATTAAAAAAACATTCATCACATACTTATCATGCCACTCAGTCAGAATTCGTGGGACAAGGTTGTGATAATCAATCAATGTCTTCTATGCTGTTTACAACCTTTGTTGACGTCTGTTTTGACAGGTAAGGCATTCAATCGTATGTATATTCACCTTATTTTTCTTTCAAAACTATTACTGTTAATTGCTGTTATCATGAGTTATGTGAATTCAAACAAGGAGGCCTACCTACTATTCCGTGCATTAATCTCTGATAACCGACTGCTGACTAGTCGTCATTGAATTTCAGTTATCAGTTGCTTCACCCTAGCGTCATATCACGTAATGGATTATAAATTTGTGTTATTCATCTCGCCAACTAGTTGAATCACTATATCAGTAATCTGACGATCGCTTATTGATGCAGTTTTCGGGTTTTATCCTGACTGCTCATTGTATGTAGCATGCAGTTGTATAGTAATCATTGTACACGCTGAAATTAATATTGTTGAACGGAAAATCCTCATATAAAGTTGCACAACGGTTACTTTTTTGTTACCAATTATTACTTTTACTCTAGCATGTTGCCCTGTGTTATCAAGACCGTCATTCAGTAGCGTTTGTCTGTAATTTGCTAGAGTGTGCCACTAAACTCGTAAATCTGTCTATGCTGTTCGAACCTTTATAACTTAACAGGAAATGTAATGTTTCTAGTGTGATCCCACTGTATGTGCAACTATGGGTGATGACAACACTATTCTGATGTGTTTAACTGGACCTTAGACACGTATAACAGGATCATTACTGTAATCAACAATTTGACAAGAATCTAGTGTCGACTATCTCTCTGATGCCTGACCGAACATCAAAACATGGAACTGTTGACCGAGCTGATTGTGTGTTTACATTATTTTGAATGAAACAAGTTATCAATTCTAGTCAACAAACGTAATTGCTATAACATAGCTGCAATCTAATCGTCACATCACTGGCATTCATTCAAGGATAATGCAAAGGTTTGTAAGCAATAAATTTGTCTACCACTGCATTTCTGACCCTTATGATGTAATGGGATATCCAAATAATTACCTGTGAACAGTAATCGCTAATTTCCACCCTTCGATGGTTTCTACTTTCCTAGGAAAGTGAAAAAACGATAGTCAGACAAATTCTTTTTCTCAATATTGATTGTGTATAGAAATACTGCGGTATATACATTTATACACACTGGTCGTCGTTATTTCCAGATCTTTCTAGAACAGCACTGTCTTGTCAACTAGTCTGTTGTTGATAAGTATAATTTCATATATTTCTCTCAGAAAATTGCAATGTGTTAATTAGTCCTGAAGGATTTCAGAATTATTGACAGCATCTAGACAATAATGTCCACCACAACACCTTATCTTTCGAAAAAGAGAAAAGCATTCTAAAAATAACTCTATATGCTTTTTTTTGCCGCCCCATTGCTTCTTACTTCATATATTTTATACTATTCTTGAGGTTTATCAAATCTTCATAATATTATTTCACTGTATTTTATGGTACCCGTTTAATTTACTGGGATTTTGTATATTTGTATTCAGTTTAACGGAATGAACAAAATTATTTTTAGGATAAACATTTATGCGTTATAACTGACGTGTATTTTTCGATGTAATCTTCCCTTATGTGAAAACAGGGTTTGCATAGAATGGTTAGACAAAAAGGTTGTATTACTTAACCTGTGGTAATATGAAGGCTTTATAACAATGTGTATTTACATACGGCCTAAACTGCTTATAATAATAATGTTCATAAGAATCTAAGCTAGACGTGAATTACAATTTGTCAGCTGAACCTGATCATCTCATTCCAATACCTTTTCTGAAAATTTTTTTTTCAGACTTTTTGCTGATGAGAACAATTTTACTGGTATTAAAGAAATAATTTTAAGTCTCTTGAACAATCCTGATGTGAAATTCGATTTTACCAAGGTCAGCAGTTATTTTTGTATTTTTTTTCTTTAGTTCATACTTATTGAACTTCTGGTAGATATGTGCACCTCAGTGTTTTAAGAGAGATGCTCTCTCTGGGATGTGCTTTCGTCGACAAGGTATTTCTCGCCTGGTTCTTATGATTTTGTTCTTCATATCGCCGTACGACTGAGTTGTTTAGTGTTTTTTTGATTGAAGTTGATACAGTTAATCCTGTAAATGCCATTCAATTTTTATTTCGTAGATAAGATTCACTAGCTATATATCATTTCCGAAGTTGAAAAAGTGAAATAATGACCATATACTAATAATTAAGCCAGGCAAAGGTTTTGAAATTCTCTTGATCAACAAGTATGACTGTATACAGAACGTTTGTTGATTCTGTAAGACACCTTTTGATTTGAACCTTAAAAATCAAATAAAGACAGAACGAAACCAATCTAAAGCGAAATGAATAAATAATTAAATATGTTATTAAAAATGAAGACAATCGATTGAAAAAAGTGTAATGACTTTATGTTTACCAGTTATGCATGCACAGGCGAGACTACGCCTAATTAAACGTTGAAACCATTCACTCAAATTTTCTATTTCACAAGTTGACATACTGGTTACCAAGTAAACATGAGCCAATTTGAAAACAGTTATCTATCGAAGATAAGTCTCTTTGGGGAAGACGGTTGCATGCAACGATTCTAAGGCAGTGGTTAACTCTACCTGAGAGTGGAGAAGAATAAACCATAAAAGAATATATAACTTTAAGCTAACATACTGAAGGTAACCGGATGGCTAACACAGTTAGTCAGAAGTTTAAAGCTTCACTTAGCTGCATATTTCCACAAGTAAGATTACTATCTTATTGTAAGATAAACTGTTCAGAAATGCAAATCAAGGCTGATAAAACCCCTTTCAAATGTATTACTTCCAAATGAATTTACCGATTAACATATAGGTTAAAAATTAGCTACTTAAGTTTGTCACGATAACAAGCATTTACACTCTTTGCTGATAATGATATTGTAAAACATTAGAGCACATAAGAACGAAATGGCATTGGTAGTTCGGTAGCAAGCTAACTAATGGATACAGAGAATATTGAACACTTTGAGCATGCTTTCAAAATAATTAATAAACACTACAATTCTTTCATATTCTACTTCACAGAGACCATTGTAGTTATAACGTTAAAGCCTGACCTTCATATTAAAAAAACAGTGGTTGACGTTGTAATGGTGTAAGCAACCACGCTCTCCTTTTCTTATAGCACTAACTGGGATTGCAATTTATTCAGTTGGACTCAATTATTTTGTCCTTTCCTACCTCTATTGTATTCTAGTTCATTAATTTGTTGTATTACATAATATGTTATGAACAATACTTTTAAAACTGCATTAAAAATCTGCTTATGCAACTATCTTGCTTCATTACACTGCTTTTTAAACAGTTTCACTGTATTCACCACCACCTTATATCTGGATTTTTAATTATGTTATTGTATCGTACAACACCTTCCATTCATCAATTTCAGCAAAGTAAAAATACAATAGTTCACAGAATAAATCGAGTCCATATTCTCTGGGTTAACGGTTTCTCTTTAGCTGCAAACAAAATAAAATAAATCCTAAATTCATATGGGATAATTTTAGAAACATACTTTTGTTTAGAACAAAATAATGATGTACATTTGGAAAAGTAAGTACAACAAGTAGAATCAAATGAAGGTTATTGGCAACTTGTATAATGAAGAAAGTTTGCTTATTCGTAAGTAGTTCTTAATTATCAACAGAAGTCTACAAAAAGCAATTATTATACCTATTATATGAGGGCTGATGATACCTTTTTGGCCTCCGAACCTCGTCAGATGGATCAGGATTCCAACACGTGACCCATCAGCTAGGAAGTCGAGTGCGTAGACCAATAAACCATAGATTCACAGTTCTAATAGCTAGTGTAAGGAATAATGACAACGAGGTAATCATTGTACTTATAGCAGGTTTATCACACTGGAACAAGTATACGAATGTAATATTACGTTTGATTTGTAGAACGGATCAGAAAAGCAAGAGAGAAACAGGGGATTCACTTGTTTCCACTATCATACACTAGCCAGGAGTGGCTTTAAAGACCATTTTAGCAATTACTGAGGTAATCTATTAGGCTTCTACGTTTTATGAAAAGGTGACATTTCTAACCGGAAAGCCGAAACCGGATTGGTTAACTCAGCAGTTACCAGAGTGATCTTTAGAGTTACCCCTAACCAATGATAGTGATAATAGCATGTAACAAAAAATATAAAGTTCATGGTATTAACCAAGGGATTTTGCCGCAGTCAATTTCACGATAAACTGTTAGCCATGACATCTCATTGTTCTTAACTTGATCACACAGATAAATCAACGTAAAACCTGGCATATAAGTGGATCGATTCAAATTATCACACTTCAAAGTTGCACGCAAATAAGAAGCGGTTAGAAAAGTGATATTATGATCATCAAATATGTAAGTGGTGAGTGAATGCGTAGATAAAGGTTGTATTTCGTGACCTAGAGGTGACATTTGACTCTGGAGGTCTTATGGGAGTGCCTATTACTCTTGAGAGTACTGGGTGAGTACATTACTACTGTGAAGGTTCCGTATTATAGGAATTATGGAAGTGTTATGTATGGTGAATTCTTCACTGAGGTTTGTGTCTATTCACCCTCACCATTCTCACTAAGTTTTGTCAAACGGGTGCTTCTGAAATTTTCCGTCTCCTCATCTGGCCTTATTCGAATCGACCTTACCACAGGTGACTTCTTAGTAGACCTAGAGTACGGTGATGAAATAATCCGGTTAGGTGGAGATAATGACAAGATACAGAGTCTATTGGACATCTTAAGTGGCGATTTGCGAATGTTAGGGATGCGCTTCTCATGACTCCAATGGAAAGTTTTGCTGTAGCACTGGTCTGTGTAGGTTCCTTGATAAACAATGCGAGTGAAGCGGTTGAGCGCGTTGACTGCTTAACTTACTTGAGAAGTCGGATCAACCCTGGTGGGTCAATATCCAGAGCAATCTTTCCATGGATAAAGGAGCCCTCTAGGTTTTCGACATTTATGGCACCGCCGTGATATTCGATTGTTTATTGAGGGTTGGGTGTACTGCGCTGCAGTTAACTCTCCTACCATATGACTGGGAAACATGGTCATTAAAGGTAGAGGATATGAGAAGACTTCAATTGTTTGACCACCGTTGCTTTGCAGCATAGGTCGTGTGTTGTGGTGTCACCTCATTAGTAACATAGAATTCAGGTACGTGAGCCAGCTGATGAGGTTGTGAATCTCCATTGACTCCACGGGTTGGAGTATGTGTTACACATGCCCATTCATCAGCTGCTCTATTGCGCAATCCCAGCTGAATTAGGTTGAGAATGGAAAAGGTCAGAGTGGTTAAACTTAAGTGTTGCATCAATGTATGAAATCTTTGACCACTGATCTGAGCCATTGAGGATAATGTAGTACCTTCTATCTTGGTGTGCTGATACAAGGTGTGGCAACTTGCGCCATTATGTCATAATGCCAGGTCGCATGTTGATTTTAACTGGTTAATTCAAGTCTTTAAAGTTAATTAACAGTGAATATCACTGCACTACTATGACTGATTTTATCCATATCACTGGGTCTCCAACTGTTGATTTTCCTCGTCTACATGACCATAACCATGCGGTCTGCAGCTCCTTGCACCCTTTAGACCATCAGTCATATCTTGGGCTGAATGCTCTTAACCTTCCAACTTCGTCCTGGTGTTGCTAAAATAGCATCCAGGTAGATGGTGGGTTGTAGTGTAGATCACGGGTTCAAACCAGGTTATTCGATAAAGGTGTACAACTTTATCCGCTGGCTTATCTTCCTTACTTTGTACCGTCTGCCTTATCTCGAGATTGCTTAGACTGATTTCAGCATACTCGAGCAATGCCACGAAGATATATGTAGTCAAAAATCTGTAAGCACTTCATGGATTCTACCTTTATGGTTTATATCTCGTCATCGCATAATGAGACAGAGTGAACTGCAGGAATATACACTCGTCTTAAGATCGGTAGTTAGATATCTCATTGGCATCGGATTTGATGAACGAGTTTTCGTTATTCAAGCTGAGATTTGGTCACCAACCAATCCCACCTAATTAGGGCTGATGCAACTTTCTAGATAAGTGATATTGTTAACGCTATCTACGATTTCCCTCTTTAACTTTAAACTGAGTATTGCTTCAGAACATTTGTGACGGATCATCTATCATAGGAAGGTTTAGCACTTGTGATGCACCCCGAACTACATCGTGTTAAATGACCGATGTCACTCAACTATTAGGTATTGTTTAACCAGTAAAAATGTTATAGAAATAGAACTTAAAACTTGAATATAAAGTGTTCTGACATCTTATTCAACTTCTTTAATCTATAGATATTAACTCGTCTACCATCGGAATGGAATCTTCTGGAGATAAAATCATTTTTGCACAATGCAATTCGTTCTACTTTACGTGAATGGTCGGAACTCCATTTCAAATATGGTTTAACTAAATACGACGCAAAACTAGCTGTTCTCGATCTTCCAGAAAATTCACAATCACTGATAATTAATGAAAACACTCCATGTTCTATATGTCATCAAGCAATTAATGTATATGGTCCATCTTATAATTTTGCATGGCTTATCCGTACAAATGAAGTCGCTCATATTCATTGTTTATCAAATAATTAACCAATTTATGCCATATTTCTCTCTTTTTTTTCTAAATTAACTTGTTGCTCTGTTGAATGATTTCTTATTTCTTGACTTCTCATTTTTTATTTTTCCAATTATTGAAGAAAGTGAGGTGAGATGCATTGTTTCAATTTGTCTCCATGTGTGTTGATTCGTTTGTATATAGAACTTTGCTTATCATTTTACCTCTGTCATTTAACTAACACAATCTCATCTCTGACTGACATCAGATAATCTCCATTTGAGAGTAATTTCAATCATATCGGTTTGATCATGAAGTTCAAGCACACTTCAGCTGCAACTTTTAATGGTTAACAGTTTGATTGTATATAATACATGAAATTAGAATCAGTTTATTGACTAATTGTTGAAGGTGTTCTGCAAATGAAATAGGCAGTTTTAAAAGATACCGTTCAGTTCATTGTATGGAACCAATGATCAGATCCTTTATTCGTCAAATTTTTCTCTAGAATTCAATTACTTAGGCTGACTAGCACCTGTCAAAGATGAGATTAGGCTTCTGAAGTGATATACACTGACTCTCACTATAAGGATAGTAATTGAAGTAAGTGGCAAACTGTTTACCAGTCCTGGTGAGATAATCGACTTCCTACCAAAAGGTGAGTTATTCTGCTCTGTCCTGTTGTACAGTTAGGGAACGTTTCCGTTGAGCGAAGAGACATGGACACTCAACAGGTTTTCGACTGTTAGTGTCTCTATGGTATAAATTACTTTTGGTGAAATCACAGAGTGAGCTATTTTCGGTGTGCAGTATTACTATATGACAAAGCTTAATTAATCGATAAGGTTGTGAATGTGTGCTCATTGAGTTGGCTTAGCGTACGCAGCGCGTTTCCTAGGTGTCTCCTCCTTCGACGCACTATTTTAGTTATGACAGAATTAAATTGCGAGAAAGCCAAGAGTAACTACGTGAGAACATTATACCTATACTAGTAATACGCCACAGAGCTAACACTCTTGGATTATCTTTGCACGTACCCACGTTTATTTCAACCTTATGACCAATCATTCATTTTATCTTGACCATATTATCATTAAATCTACTCAACATTTCCCTCAATTCAGAAAGGGTTGGGGTTACTCATTGAAAATTCGAATATTTAGGTTGTATGTCTGTATAAAAAGTGAGCATGTTAGGTGGTTCGTTGGAGGTACTTTGTAGCCAGTTGAGTACCCATGACAGTATGTTGGCCTTGTGTGCAAATCACTATTTACTTCTAACTGATTCCAAATTTAGACACAGCGATAACCATTATTTTAACTGTTGTCTTTCATCACTATAAAAACAGGGTGTCAAAAGTATAGAATGAGATTCGATGTGAATATAATTCATAAAATGTGTTTGAAATGTCAACCAGTAAATAAAAATGTTTCACTGTGTGAAATATCCAGTGAACTTTTATTATTATTATTTGTCTCTTGGATTCCTAGTGGAATATAGGGCTTCAGTAGCACGTCGCCACTTCACTCTCTTTTCTGCAGTCTCGTCAACCTGGCTACATGACCACCCACGAGCTTTCATTTCTTCCTCACATGATCTCCTCCATCTCACCATCGCATCGGACACTCAACCCATCATTTCCCATTCGAATTCCACTCGACGACCTGGCTTGACACGTGATGTCCTCAATCGGTCTTCTCAGTGTATACCCAATCCAATCCATCTCCACCTCCTTCGTCTGCATATTTGTTGGGTGATGGGTTATCGGCTGGTTGGTTGATTGGTTGGTTTCCAGTCCTCCAGTCAGAGTTCCTTGATACTTATTCTTATTATTCTGGCCATCTGATCGGTCTTCATTATCGAGGGAGCATAGGTGGTAGTGGTTGATGAATATGTGAAGTTAGTTGGGAATGCTTTTGATAACGTGCTGAGTTTCTCAACCATCACATAGAAGCACTGACTTGACTGATATTGGTGTTGCAAATCCTGATCTTGTTCATGTTTTGTGCTGAGTGCAGAAGATCTCCACACTGGTTTCAGATTACTGAAGGTCTGTCTTGCTGTGTTTCCGATCGTGGCTTTGACATTCTTATGTGTGCTTGTGTTGCCTGTAGTTGAAATGATGCTGCCTGTGTAGGTAGGTAGGTGAAATAGACAACTTCCTTTAGGTTTCTCCCGTTCATGGTGCTTGTTGTTGTCGGTTGGGAATCTTCATCACCTCTGTCTTCTCCATGTTCACTTGAAGTCCCATTTTATCCAGCAAACAAATTAGCTTCTATTTATTCACTCTGTGGTTACCCAATATCTTTAGTAGTTTTTAGAGTCTTAAACCAAAATCCTTCACTGCATATTCCATTACAATTCATTCACATATTTCATATGCTTTCATGTAATTAATATTAAGTAAGTAATATATATATATATTCCAAAGAAAAGTTCCTCACTCAGGCTGTTCAGTAGATATTGATCAATTGCATGTTGATATAAATGTGTAGGTACATTAAATGCTCAAATAGAAAAAAATAGAAATGTACAAGTATTATCGATCGGTTCTCTTTCATTTCTTATTATTCAGTTTATGCTTTAACAAAAAAACCGTATGTATATTTACATCATGTGATATATGATTCATTTTAGTGAATCAAAATAGTTCAAAAATAGGTGGATTATACCACGAATTCCCATAATTTTTGTTTTTTGTATTCACTTCATTATTGTAGAGACTATGCCATTTTTAGAAAAATACCTAAGATTATTAATTCTGTTCTCATTACTATATATTGAAAGAAATGAAGACCAATTTTATCTATTTTGGTGATGAATTCATTGAATCCTTGTACTTTTTAATAGTTGAAATGGTTCACAGGCCTCTTATCCTCAATTAACTTAAAAAACTCAGTAATGGTAATGGTAATGTTATTTTGTTTTAAATGGTCTTCATCATCTCCATACAACCTACATAAATAATCACGGTGAACAATTTTAAAATACTTTTACATAAAACAACTTGATGTATGATTTCGTGTTTTGGAGCTGTCATTATGCTATACAATGGAAGGAGGAATAGTGTCGGAAAAGCTGACTAAAAGCAGATATGAGTGCATGTGGTTACATAATGTTTTGAGAAAACGTTATACTAAATGATAACTAGTGTATGAGACAAATTATCATTGTGATGACAAATGCAGTAATATTACCCCTGGTGGGGTCATGGGTGCATACTTTTTAGGAGTCCCAAACTACTCTTAGGTTTTCAATGTTTCCCCAAACGATGTCAGTTCGTGATGAATACCAAGCTGAAATCAACAAATAAATCCCCACAAATCTCCAAATTGAACAATTATTATTGTTATTATTTTGTCCGATTGTGATTGTCTTAAATACGCGATTTTGCCGATTCAGTCTCAACTCTGGCCTTACACTTGATTGGTCTCGAATATGCTTACCTAGTCTCGTATATCCAACGTACACGCGTAATGAGTCACGCAATTCGGCTATCCCAACCGGCTTACAAGAGAACACTAAGCCTTGTGCTCATTCTCCGTATATTTAGGACGATCTGGTTCATCTGGATTTACAATTGAATTACCTGACTGAAACGTACAACTGATTACAAGCACAAAACGTGGGATGATGCACAATAACAAATGGTTTCACTAAGAATACAGCATTAATTTCCGAACTATAAGTCATGCGTAAATGAATGAGGGGTTGGTTGAAAGCTCTTGAACTGAGCTATACAATAATGTTACCGTTCAAATCATAAGTAAAACGACTTTCATAATAACAAAAAAATGACACTTCCCTGAGATTCACGTTCCCCTCTTTTTGTTTGATACAACACCAACAAACAGTATTTTAAATGAAGGTGGCTGGGGATAAACACAAACAATACAAAGGTACGAAAGTGGCTTCAACTGAAAGTGCCACTTCCCAGTAGAGCAGTAAGAAGTAATCACGGTTAAAATCGTTGAAGGAAACTGAAAATGACAACTCAAAGTCTTTGGTCAGTTAACTACTATCAAACATTTTAATCTGTATAAAATAAGCGTTAAGCTTTTGCACAACTGGTCGAGAATGGATTTCTTAGACATTGACCTCTCGGTAACCTTCGTCATTATTATCTTTCTAAGTACTCTCTTCCTCATGAACATATTTACTGTTGTATACAATTGAAGACAACAGAAATTTGTTTAATTTGATCTGTTTGATTTGGCATACTCCCTGATGCAAGGGAAGTCTAGCAACCTGGTAGGTCTTGAACAGTATACTCTCAGTTCATCTGTTAATTCTCGATGCATCATCATCGCTTTGGGAACCTAAAGTAAGAAACGCTAGTTTCTTTCCCACAGTGTTGCATATCCTGCCTCATTTCTTATTTTTACAGTATTTCTGTACGAAATATGTAGGTTAACTGTTGCTGTGTAAACATTATTCGATCAGCTGGAGTTTATTTTCGGGAGCACAGTTCTGCCATACGATGTAACGTTCTCACTACACTTCTCCCCTTAGATGATCGGAAAAAAAATTATTCTTTTAAATATTTACTGCTCAACTTGATTTTGTTGCGAATTTTTCCTTCTGTTCTAATGCCTTCTCTACATCTTATGCATAATTTGAGGAAGTTGAGCTCTACTGTTCTTCACATTCTGTCATAAACGTTGTTAGAAAGATTCATTAGCATCTTTACTGAACACTTTCATATGTATTAAAGGTATACTCAACATACTTAAGCTACTGACTTCAAATTTTTGAGTGGTGTTTTCAAAATATAACAAGAGTCCACCATTACTGATTTCAGGAAAAATTTCATAACCAAAGTACCAAATGATATTGGTTAGATTAAAATTGAACATCTTTACTGTACATAAACAAAAGAAGCTTAAAACCAGTCTTTTGTCTTAGAGTGGCTTCTGTTTACGGACAAATGATGCTCTTTTCAGGATAAGGTATATCTCTTAGTAAAGCAGTTCTTACGTCATGAATTTGTCGTACGAATTCAGGTGAGTTATTCTTTCTACTAAATGGCGGTATACTGTCAACTGACAGAAGGTGTAAAAACTTGACCATTGGATTTCAACCGAGTAGCCGAAATAGTTGGTAACGTTGACATGTACTTATATGGTGTTCACAGTGATCATTCGGTTCTTATCGTACTTCTTATACACTTTCCGAACAGTTGTAGTTGATGTTTCTTCCCGTTTAACATGTGACAGCCACGACTGATATACACTTCTACCCATTCCTATGCTGTCAGTGTTTATCTGCCTGTCATCTCGAATATAACGCGTATACTACGCACTTTCCACGATCAAATTAAAAACCATTGGCAGCCAAAGGGATCCAACTTCATACTTTTTATGTGTTCAATGCATCAATATCTATTTCATCTAATCACCA